ATGTAATTTTTAGCCATTGGAAAATCAAGAAGCAGTCAGCAGACTGTTGTTGACATTTGATCAGGGCTCGTGCACGAAACAGAGAGAGACAGAAGATATGCCGAAACCCACGTGCTGCGAGTGGTGGCGTTACTGTACACCTATAGCCATGTAAACAAACAAATTTCTGCTGGATGTACTCTAACCAAAGAATAAAACGAGTATCAATAGATGGCGCTACGGACTTATGAAAGTCTCGAGATTCATGAAAGATTGGCCACGATATATCTTTGAGTCGTTTCATTCATTTTTTCTAAATAATCGTAAAAGTATCGGTACTAAATAACCTGTACGTCACGGTACAGTTAACATTTTAAAATTCCGATCACGGCACTGGAAAGCCAAGGAAAAATCCTATCAAAAAAGTCAATGAAAAAAAATTTTTTTTTTTTAGATTTTAGGTGCCTTTCCCCCCTTAAATGGTATCTTCAAAACGACCTACAGAGCGTTAAAAAAATCGTAGAGAGGTCTTTTTTTTTTTAAATTACTCGTTAAAAAGAGCGATGGTGTATGTTAGATTTCGATAAAAAAATCACTGTGGTACTGGTACACGTTCAAACAGTCATTTTTTTTCAGTAATTTTTAGGGTCACGCTCAAATACTACTGGTAACTCAACATTAACTCAAATCTTATCTTAATTTATATGGATTTAAAGAGGACAAAATTTCCAAGAAATTAAAAAAAAAAGCGTGTCGATACGATAAATCTAGCCCAAGATAGAAGCATTTGAAAATCGACAAAATTTCGATGAATTTTTTTGTTGCGATAATTTTGTTGCCGAGTGTATATATCTGTAGTTTATATCACAGAAGCTTTTCTTTTGTGCTGCATTTTTAGCCTGATAAAACTGGCAACTTTAATTGGAATTAAACGACAAAAAGTTTCAACAAGATCGCATTGGCATTTAATGATTTTCGATCATAATATGATTACAGGTGCGGCGAACTCTGCCCAGCGGGTAAGCACGGCGACGACTGCAAATCCGAGTGCCGCTGTCAAAACGGCGGCTCCTGCAGCCCGACTACCGGCGAGTGCTTCTGCACACCGGGATGGACGGTGTGTACAATATATACAAATCTCATTTCGATACTCTCCTGCGAGCTGCGATCAACTTTATCCGTACATTGTATTGCAGGGCTCGGTTTGCGGCAACAGATGCCCCGAGGGATTCTGGGGCAAAAACTGTAGCGTGCCCTGCGAGTGCTACAACGGGGCCGGCTGCGATCACATAAGCGGCGAGTGCCTCTGCAAGCCCGGCTTCGTCGGCGACAAGTGCCTCAAGAGCTGTCCCAGCGGCACCTGGGGCCTGGACTGCAAGCAGAACTGCACGTGCTCCAGCGGCGCCACCTCCTGCTCGAACGTCGACGGCGCCTGCCTCTGCGGTCCCGGCTGGCAGGGGCCGCGCTGCGAGCAGCGCATCTGCCCGGCGGGCCTCTACGGGCCCGACTGCACCAAGGTCTGCGAGTGCGAGGAGCCCAACACCGAGCTATGCCACCCCTGGACCGGTGACTGCACCTGCAAGGCTGGCTGGGCCGGCAAGACCTGCGCCAGGACCTGTCCGATCTACACGTACGGCCAGGACTGCCAGAATCGCTGCGCCTGTCAGAACAACGCTCAGTGCTCGCCCGTGAACGGCAGCTGCATCTGCGCGGCCGGCTACAGAGGCGAGTTCTGCCAGGACTCGTGTCCGGCCAACACCTTCGGCGAGGACTGCGCCCAGAAGTGCATCTGCTTGAACGGCGGCAAGTGCTCGCCCGAGGACGGCAAATGCAACTGCACGGCAGGTACGAAGATGAGCGGGATCGCAGCGAACTTACGTTTATACAAACTCTCTTCACTTTTCTGTCTAAAACAAACGAATCCGTTTTAACTAAAAAAAATAGTCAAATCGATTGTAGAGATTCAGGACGCAATGTGTGGAAAAGTCCAATGTTATAATCAGTAATATCATTTTACCTTCTCATCGTTTAAAAAAGTAATCGTTGTATTGCATAATAGATGGACGTTGCGCTTAGAATTATATGTAATATTTCTCTTATCTAGAGCACTGTGCATGTATTAGTTTAAATTTATTTACCATAATTCATTATTTTAGACGAATCATTTCATTTGCTAATTCAGCTGTGTTTCATAATTACACTCGTTGCAATGTGTCGTAGAAATTATTTTTAAATGTCATAAGTACTGTAAAACTATAGTCAAGCCATACATAATTAACGAATGCGAATTCAATTTTTTAATTTTTGATACGCAGGCTGGGACGGTGTGCAATGTGAAAAACCTTGCCCCGTAGGATATCACGGGGTAGGCTGCATCGAAAAATGCAAATGCCTCAATAACGCGTCTTGCAATTCGCAAACGGGTGAGTCATTGACCTACCGATACCGATTTATTCATTCACAATTTGAAACTGTATCGATCATCTATTTGACCTTTGTCATCGACAGGAAAATGCAGCTGCCCACCCGGCTTCACGGGCGAGATGTGCGAGACGCGCTGCGAGAAAGGAAAGTTCGGCTACGACTGCTCGCAGGTCTGCGATTGCGAGGAGGAGAACAGCATCGACTGCGACATCGTCACCGGGCGCTGTCGCTGCAAAGACGAGTGGCGAGGTTCGCTCTCAATCTCATTATAATTTTTCAATTTTCTTTCTCTAGATAATTCCAAGATTTCATAACTTTGCTTTATCGCCTGCGTTTAGGAATACGATGCGAGACCCAATGTCCACCCGGCCTTTACGGCGCCGACTGCCACAACGAGTGCAACTGCAAGAACAACAGCTCGTGCGATCCCGAGACCGGCAGCTGTATCTGCTCGCGCGGCTGGGGCGGTCCCGACTGCTCGCTGCCCTGCAAGAAGGGTTGGTATGGCATGCGTTGCAAAGAGAAATGTCCTGAAAACAGTCACGGTGAGTACAACATCCCACCGAAATCCCCTTTTCTTCGGTATTACGAGAAAAACGTTTGAAAAAACATGTAAGGTATCTTGATTATTACGTAGAATGAATGTAGCTCTCATAGTTTGTTTGACTTTATTATCATTTGCATGAGTATTGCTTTTTTAGTGTCGTTTTCAAAGTTTTGCTTGGAGCTTCATTCGTTGTTACTGTATCAATTTTAGTCATGTATATTCATTGTTAATAGTTACACAATATACGAAAAATGATATTACTGAACCTCTTTTTTTACAAAGTAAAAATTGTCACTAAAGAAAACTAAATATACGTAAAAAGACATGGAGCATCGACACGAGACACGCGTCTAACTTTTTGGCAATTATAATATCTCCCACAGGCAACATGACGTGCGACCACGTGACCGGCGCCTACGTCTGTCGTCCGGGCTACCTGGGCCTCACGTGCGAGCATCCCTGCCCGCCGAATCGCTACGGCCAGGACTGCGCGCAGGCCTGCGACTGTCGCAACGGCGCCGAGTGCCATCACGTGACGGGCGTCTGCCAGTGCCTGCCCGGCTGGCAGGGCCGCAGCTGCCAGCAGAGCTGCCCCGAGAACACCTACGGGGTCAATTGCACGCAGCACTGCAAGTGCCTGAACGGCGGCAAGTGCCGGGCCAACGACGGCCACTGCCGCTGCGCGCCCGGCTGGACCGGCACCCACTGCACCGAAAGTAAGCCCGAAGAAGTTTTGTCTAATTTCGAGACGGCCGCAGTCTGATTCTAAAATAGTTTGTTAACGCTTCTGAAATAGTTTGTTTGCTTGCTCGATGAAATAACTCTTGATATTTTGAAATGGTGAATTATTAGGCAAAGCCTGCGAGGCGACTAAAACCATCGATGGGTCAAATTTTTTTTCTCAAACGATTTATACTAATAATCGCTACTAATGAATGCAGTTTTTGGCGTGTACATATAATTAATAATTTTAACAAGTATAACAATAAAATTCCGTTTTTTAAAAAAGTTTGGAAAGGATTATTGATTGATGTAACCTCTTGCGCACTAATCAAACCTTATAAAGAGGCACTAATCCTGAATGAAATTCCATTCTCGAATTTTCAAAGCGACCAACGTTTATGTAATCGAATGTATATTCTGAAACACAGTTTGCCCCGAGGGATATTACGGAGACCACTGCATGGAAGTGTGCGAGGCGTCGCAGTGTAAGAACGACTTTTTCATCTGCCACCCGGCCGACGGTTGCATCTGCAAGCATGGGTATCAAGGTAATGCGCTTTTATTGATTTTTCGTGCTCTTTTTTTCCATAATTCAATTGAATTGACAAATTAATTGTTTTTTCTCAAAGGTCCGAACTGCGACATCGAGATATACTCGCGCAACGTCCAACAAAAAGAGGAGGCCGGCTACGGCAGCGTCGTCGGGGGTATTTTCGCCGGAATCGTGGGCATAGCAATTTTCTGCGCCGCCTGGATGTATCATCGTCGAAGAGTGGCCAATCTCAAGATGGAAATCGCCCAAGTGCAGTATATAGCTGAACCCGTCACGCCTCCAGGTAAGGCTCGAAAAATGACTCTCGATCTTATTATACGATTATTTTTCATGCTTTATGACGAATGCCACGATTTTCGCAGATCGTAATCAATTCGACAATCCCGTTTACGCTTATCAAGGCAATTCGAGAAACGACGACGGTACCGACGCTCTGTTGAAAAACGTGCAGATCAGAAACATCATCACTCGTAAGAATACGAATAACGAGAAGGCCAAGTTTGGATACGGTTATCCGCCGGACGACGAAGAAGATAATTGCAAGGGTGAGATAAAATTGAAATTTCACTGGTAGAAATGCTTAATATTTTATGACTAGTTCATGGCCAACATATTCACATAGAAACACGACATAGAAGATTTCTACTGGTACAATTCACTGATAACTTAAACCATTTTTTTCACTTTGTTACTAGCAGGTTTTCACATAAAGAAACTCGCCATCTAGTGGTAGAGCCTTATACTAGGCTCTATTTAGTGGTAGAGCATTATTGTATTAAATTACTTAAAAACCAGTCTACATTTTATGAAACAGTTGAATTGTTGGTTCCAAGTCCCTTAAAATGTGCTTAGTATTTGTAAAATAATTGTAAAAGAAAAATGTTTAAAAACAAGCCAATCAATGGTCGTGCATTTTAAAACATAATAAGATATAATTTTATGGTCATTGCGTTCATTATTAATATCGAGCATTTCTACCACGATTAGGTTGGTAAAATAAAGACGTACTTTTGACCTTTTTTTGTTCTTGCAAATCCCATCTCAGGTGGCTTCGGCTTGAATTACAATCACACTGCGGCGCTGAAGAACCGCGACGCCGACCTCGGCAATCCCAACCTGAACGTCTATCACAGCATCGACGAGCTCGAGAAGCAAAAGTCCGAGCACGTCTACGACGAGATCAAGCAGAACAACGCCGATCTCGAGTACGATCATCTGGATTACACGCGCGCCCAGAGCGATCGCAAGCCCCACTATCAGCGCATGGCCAACGGCTTCGGTGGCGGCGCGAGCAGCAGCAGCAGTAGCGGCGCCTCGCCGACGCCACCGCCCAACGGATCGTTCAATCGTCATCAACGTCGGGAGCTGCCACCGGTGTTGTCGTTGTCGTCGCCGACCGTCATCGTCGGTGTCGATCCGCATCGAGGAGCCTCGACCTCGGCATCGAGTAGTCCCGATCCGGAGCTTGGCAACGTCACGTAAATTTATCCATGAACATCGATACTGTTACGACTAGCTCTCTCTCTCATTTTCTGTACTCGCGTCCGATTACGACCGTCCCAGGGGTTTCCAGATGATATACGTTTATTACGTGTAATTTAAAAAAAAAACGATTTATATATTGGGAAATTTGCGCGGAGCACGTTGGCTTATATACGAGCACTTCCTTGTTTCGATTACAGAAAGCTCGCATTTTTTTGGGGGGCGTGGAAAAGCTGCTTTACAATAAGACTGCCGTGCCATTCAAGCTCTCCTTTTTCCGCTCTATCTTTATTCGTTTGACTCAATCTTTACAACGAATAAAATTGCTAATTGAGTCTACGCGCGAGAAAAAAATTGCCCCGAGCCGCTTCTTCCCAAGAGCATTAATGTTAAAATCAGTGTATAAACTGTTGTGTTCAATGAAACGACACTTCCGATAAATTTTAGGTCAGAAAAGCGATATTTTTCGAGAAATACGTATAAACACATATATATTAATATGAAATATTTTGTTATGCAGTCGACTTGAATTTAAGTGTTAGTTACGTGAAAATTATACTGTTATTTTTATAATGATAAAGTGATATTTAAGAGCTTCATTAAAAATGACGAAAGCCTTCGTAAAATTGTTCAAGTTCAAAGTTTCAATTCAACATATCGAATGTTCGAAATGCCTCAAGTAACAAAATAAAAATAATCAATTTAGGATTATTAAAAAAAATATTTTTGAAATAATTTTAGATAAAAGTGTAGATATATAAATATGATATAAAGCTGACACAACTATAAATTGCAAAAAGTTGCACGCTAAGAATCAATGATAAAAACGATAAAGAAATCATTGTACTATTTTTATGAGTTAAGAAAGTTCATGTTTTCTATGTAAGGTAGAACCTTTGTAATCAATACGAGTATTCGTTCAGAGATTTGTTCTTTCTGTATATTTTTAATTTATTTGGCATACCAATAAGTTTAATTTATATTATATCATGTAGATACGATGTATTTTAAATATATATATTTATAATTTATATAATTTTTTAGTGCCGATAAACGTATACATATTGTTGTTTTAATATTGTATCTAAACATATTATTATGAACCGTTTTTTTATACAGAATATTGCATTTCAATAGGACGGAGCGAATAATAAATACAATGTAGTAAGAAAATGGTATTTTCGTATGCAATTTGTGCATCTGTGATAGCCGAGGGAGTCAATTTTGTGAATTTCTATTTGTACACGTGAAAAAATTATTATTTTAATAAAGTATGAACAATTTTATTTATTTGATTAGAAAAAACTTAAGCCTATGTATGATAAAATGTTTGAAATATAGTTAAAAAAAAATAAAAAAAACTTAGTCCTCAAATATGTAATTTTTTGATTTTTTTATCTCAAATGTTTCAACTCCAATATTTAAACTAAAGTTATACTTTGTGAATATGTAAGTTAAAATATGTATATTAAATTGCATATAAATGCTCGCCACGAAAGTATGAAAATTTACTGTAAAAAGTCGAAATCGTCTAATTTATAAAATTTATAAAAGTATGAAATGTATATTTCAACACTTAGCTTTTTAAAAGTATAAAATCTTCATTTTAAACTTTTATAAAAGTATAAAATGTTACTATCATATTATTAAAAGTATAAATTCATTACTTAAAATTCATGCCCAAAAGGTAAATATGAAAAATACAGCAACGATAAGAACATGAAATGTTTTCTTCGCGCGCTGTCCGAAATAATAATTCAATTATTCATTTATATGTTGTGGCTTCTTGTAAATTCTCAGATGCTCCTCTCAGTAAACATAGACAAATGATTGAGAATCAATTTTTTTTTTCTCGGGCAGCTATTAGGTTTATTGATATTGAATCAAAATTATGAACATTAGGTGTGCATGCAATTAATCCAATCGTTTATGTTAATTAAATACAATTTTTTATCAGTGATCTACAACCAATAACTTTTTTTGTTTTGAGCAAAAAATATTAAATAACGTATATTGCGTCGATTAATAATTGTTACATGCACAAATTTGTGATTTGTATCTGTCAAATTTAAAATTAAGTCTTCGAGTAAGATTTTTTTACGAAATTAAAAATAAATATAGTTATTATACATTTACTTATGCAGATTACGCGAATGCAAGTGTGCCATAACTGCGTGGGCTTTGAGATTCTTTTCTTGTCCAAATTTTTTTCCGCATATATTACATGCATGGGTTACACCATTATGTACCGAATGTATGTGTCTTTTGAGGTGCCTCTTCTGTGTGAATTTCTTCCCGCACACATCACAAGTATGCGTGACATCATTGTGCTTCGAATCAATATGGATTCGGAGACTTTTCTTGTATTTGAATATCTTTCCACATGTGTTACACTCATACGTGACACCTATATGTACTGCATCAATGTGGAATTTGAGATTATTCACGTTCGTGAACGTCTTTCCGCAAGTCTCACATGTTTTACGTGTGTTCATAATCCCCTTATGTAACACTCTAATGTGTCTGCTGAGGTTAGATCGGAATAAAAATTTTTTTCCACAAATATCACATTTATGGGTGACACCACTGTGTACCGAATCCATGTGAGTTTTGAGATTACCCTTAATTGAGAATTTATTTCCGCATATTTCACATGCATGTGTGATACCGTTGTGCACCGAATCGATGTGTCTTTTGAAATAACTTCTATCTTTGCATGTCTTTCCACAAATATCACATTTATGGGTGACACCATTGTGTATCGAATCGATATGGGTATTGAGATTATTCTTACTTGAAAAATTTTTTCTACAAATATCACACCGATGGGTAACACCGTTGTGCGTGGTATCAATGTGCCTTTTGGCACTACTTTTATCTGAGAACTTTTTTCCGCAAATATCACATGCATGTGTGATTCCGTTGTGCACCGAATCTATGTGTCTTTTGAGATCACTTTTTTTTGTGAATGTCTTTTCGCATACATTGCATGCAACTTTGACACCTAAGTGCACTGCATTGAAATGAGTTCGAAGTTTACTGCGCCATTTGAATATCTTTCCGCAAACATTACATGCGTGGGTAGAACTACTACGCATCGGACTGATGTGGGTTTTTGATCTCTGTTGGTCGTTGAGGTCCGTTGTAATTCTATTTTTTTCATTTTGCCCGCTAAATTCGCAGTTTAAATTCAAACTCGATTCTTCCGAAACGTTACCGAAATATTCTTTTTTCACTCCATCCATATTTTCTATTTTAATTTTATTCGGATAATCTCGAATATATTTAGTATTGTGCAAGTTTTCCGAATAGTCTTCGATTTTCTGAACTGCCAATAAATTAAAACTCGGCTTCAGATCTTGACATTCCAAAACTATTTCCATGTCTTCACGAGGTTCACACATTCCGTCATATTCTTGAAACCCGAGGTTCTGTGAATAAGATTTAAGTTTAAAATATCGACCGAATATAGGGTAGTCAGACCAATTAATGACCGGGTACCAGTGAATGACCATTTTGGAAAATATCATATGAAAAACAATTAAAAATATATTTGTATGGACGGAATTCAATTCTTTAGTGAACGATGCATCTTGTTTTCGATGTTCGATCATAATTTAATAAGGAAAAACGATAATTATTGCATATCCAAAAGTGGTCATTTACTGGTCGAAGGCGGTCAATCACTGGTATAAGCACCCTATTTATCAATTCTTACTGGACTTTCTCGCAGAAATCTTGAGAGTTTAACATCTTGCGTATCTCGAGTCTTGTCAATTATATTACGATTGTTTTCCAAAAGTGACTCATCGCAAGGCTCAGTTTTTACTCTGAAATGCATAGAATAAGATTGAGTATCAATCTTTAATATTTTCGATTTCTCAATACGATGAAACAAAAATTACCTGACAGCACAGTTAAATACTCCGTTGGATTCCATGTTTATTTCTTGAAATTTCTCTAACGACTAATCTCGCCGTAGTAATGTTACACATTGAACTAACCAAATCAAATTTGACAATATTTACAAGTCATGAAAGGAGAGTTTAACCAAATCAATGAAAACAAAGTAAGACTGGGTAGGACTAGGTTGCCCCGAGTAACTCAATAGGCCCAGTTCGCGGGCATTTATTCAATAAATAAGTATACCGACCTAAGAAATTTTAACTAACAAAAATTACCCAAACGATCAAGCTCATGTACTTTTCAAATTGTCAAATGTGTAAACCCACGTTTCCCTAGTAATCCAATATGCAACCGCAAGTCATCGTAAATAATTAATTAATGATGAGTGAAGCGAACTTCTCTAACTATACTGGAAAAATTTTCTTAAATAGAAAAACTCACTTTAAACATGCGATAAAACACTAAAAGAGCTCATCTCTTTTTATTGATAAATTATGGAAAAATATATGCTCAAATTCTATAGCAATATTTTGACAAAAGTTTTTTCCCCGCAGTTTATCAATAACGATTTTTGCTTCAAATTTCAAGTATTTTTCATAAAATTTCTAATATTTAGACCTTTCTTTTTCAATTTTCCAATAAAGTAACACGATATAAATTAGGTATTCATTGGATTCTTGCATTCCAGACTGCGTTGCAAACTCAAGTACTTTTTTATGCATATGAAACTAGAAATTACAGTGTAATAAGAAAAACGGTATGTAAGTTTATGTTGTTAAAAATAATTAATTCGATAACGTATAAAAAATATTTTTAACTAATTTAATTAGAATAATCTCAAACATATTTATGATAAAAACATGATTGAAAAAAAGTTAAACGATTTATTTTTAAATTACATACATTTTTTAATTCCTTTAATCATTATGCTTCAAATTTTATAATATATAAATATTTGCTGCATTCTTACGTCAAAGAAACTTGTCACAAATTTATTTTATACTTAGCGCACTTGCACAAGCTCTTGGATTAAAAATAATATTGCATTGCTTTGCACACTTTGTGGTGCTTCATTCATATGTTGCTGCAACCATCTACAATCTTTATCTTTCGCGTCCACGCACAGTGTATGCTTCTTAGACAATCGATAAAAGTGAGTGTGAATCGATCTATCATAATTTTTTTTACAGATGTTTTAGCCAATTCGGAATAATGTAGTAATAATAAACTATATAAAAAATTTTAATATTAATCACTCTAATTGAAATTATCATAAAACCAGATATTAATTCATACCCACAGAAATTAAGATAAAGAATAATTATATTTACATCACTTAGGAGCAAAAGTGTTTTTTAAAGACTAGCTTGTGTTTTATCGTATTTGCAATCATCGTGTACTTAAACGACTCTTGATGAACCACCGACGTAAATTTTTCGAACACTATTTGGACATTTTACAGTTGGTAAAAAAAATAATACAGAGAACTACTATTCATAATTGATATATTTTTCATTGTAACGTTATAACATTTAATATTATGTATGTAATCATTTAAGATTTTTTCGTCATAATCAAGTCTTTCCTATTCTTTAAAATTTAATTATTTTCTAATAATTATTACATTCAATTTTACATAATGCATATAAATATCATGAGTACATTTTATTTATATAAGTAATTAATTCAATGCACTTGAATCTAATTTGTTCGTCTATCAGCTAGAGTATCACTCACGCGTTACCAAGTAACGAGCAGACCTTTTTTCATCATAAAGATCACATCAAAATATTATCTTACACAATGAGTTTGCAAAAAAAGAATAAACGTAATATTAATGATATTTCTACAAAAATTTGTTATATTATATAAGATAAGTAGATCTTGAATAACATTAAACTTCAAGCTTGACTTACGTCGAATTTGTTCGATTTTAAACTCGTAAAACGTAACCATTCTTATAGAACCTTGATCAAAAGTGAGCATTACTTTTTCTTAAAGATTCATATTTTAATGAAAGTTATTATCTTTCAAGACAGTCTTCTCAGTCGGGTTGCATAGCTGTCATCAGTAAATTTTAATGAATAAATACTGCTTACTTATATTTGATATGCTGATTTCAAAAGATCGAATAGTTATAGTTTTTTGAACTTTCAACTATACATTAAAAATTAAACACCTCATCGTAATCGAGAAGCAATTTATAAAATAAAACTAACAGTCTGTAAAGAAGGCGCTGTCAATAATAATTTTTTGTAAAAAAAACCTACGCTGCGATACATACGATTCGATACTTTTTTGAAGTATCAAACGTTTTTTTTCTATCGAAAAAAATTACTCGACAACAAGATTAAAAAAAAAACGAAGAAGAAGACGATATTACAGAGTCTCTTTGTCAGTTTTTTCTGGTTACACACAATTTATAATATCTTCATTATCAACGGGAGACACGTGTTTGCGTATGGCACATTCAAAGGAGGTCGTAAAATTAACTTAAAAGGTTATCGTATAATCAAATTTTTACCAAGCCGTCTTCATCTTCGCTCTCGAAGCCGACGATCTCCTCGCTTTCCGACCGATCGTAGGCGTAGTACTTGGCGGCGAAGCCCGACTTCGTGATCGTGTCGTCCGTGCGGAAGCGGACGAGCAGAGCCTCGTTGATCGATATGATATCCGTCGTATTCTAATGGACAAAGGGCAAAATCGAAATTTCATTATTAATTACTTTTCTGAAAATGCTTGCCTGACGAATGGATAAAAATTACCGAATTTCCGCACAATCGGCCGTAACTCGGACTCGACGTGTCCAGGCCGGAATGTACCTCCACCCAGTCGTAGCTGCAGTCAATTTCATCCTCGAGATCGAAGGACAGAAAGTTAAGATGCACGTTTTTGCCGAGTGGCGCTTCGATGGTCCAGTCGCAGTCCATCCGGTGATCGTAGTCTTGACTTCCGTACTTCGCGTGCGAGTAGAAGTAATTGACCTTGTCGGACGCCATCAGGTGGCCTCCGCAGGCTATATAATAAAAATCATATCGAATCATGAGACCAACAGAAAAAAACCCCAAGATTACGCGAATCAATGAAACAAAAAAAAAAAAAAAAANNNGAAAAAAAAAAAAAAAAAAAAGATGAGCGATCGAAGCACGCGTGTGTGTGTGCGCCGCATACCCGTCATGTGTTGCGCGAAAAAGCCCTTCTTCTGTATCGACGTGTCGCTCTTAAAGACCATGAACATCTGATTGCCGGTGGCCAGGATCGGATGGGGCTCCTTGTTGCCGCAGAACTGGCCGAGCGACTCGCTGTCCGGCGAGTCGCCGTCGTATATGGCGATGTGGTCGTAGGCGCACTCCTGGTGCGGCTCCATGTCGAAGACTTTGAAGATCTGCGTGCGAGAGAGCGTGCATAATGTACGTACGATCGTGCGCAATGTTTATATGATTTCTCAGAAGAGCGAGAGCATGAGAATTTGGAAAAAGTATATATGTAACGATAACGGGGGCGATGGACTTTGACACTCGTGTTATGACGATATGTAACTCGAAATCCAGGGCACGAAGACGAAAAAGCCGAAAATTCATTCGTTCGAGATAATGGCCAACGCGCACTATCTTTGACTGTACAAGTATAGTTCGAGCGGGGCGCCGGGTCGTACGAAGAGATATATAGCGAGGCACGTAATAATAATCAAAGGCGCAGGCAATAAAGCACGAGTCGAGCCCGCGTTAAAACATTCGCGCAATCGCGCAGCAAAATGAGTTGGCTCGCGAGACGCGCGGGAAAAAAAATTAATAGTCGCGCGCTGTGGCTCTATTATACACAAAAGGATCGCCGTAGCACAGCGCGCATACTCATTAGCGAGATACAGAAGGCGCTGCGAGGAGCAGCTTACCAATTTGATCCTGTGGCCGGGCGTGGTCGTAAAGTGCCAGACGCAGTCCTTCTTGCCGGGATAATAATCCGGATAATTGGGCGAGGTGATGGTGCCCGAGGGCGCCGTTATTTCGTACTTGCAGCCGCCCTCCTTGCAGTCGTGGCCGTTGTCGTGCAGGGTGAAGCCGTTGTGGCAGGAGCAGTGATACGAGCCGATCGTGTTCTTGCACTCGTGCTGGCAGCCGCCGTTGTTGTTCGCGCACTCGTCCATGTCCGTGAAGAAGATCGCGGCGAAGCCGGATTTTTGCATGCTATATATCGATGCAAATTCAATTTCGACGTTTTACTTATTTCCATCATGTCATTTATTTTGTTTTGTATAATATGCAAGTATTTCATGTATTGCAGCGTGGATTATTCGTCACGCTATCGCGGCGCGCAACTAAAAAGTATTTTTAAGACCACGACTTTTGATTTTGATTAGTATCAAAAATTCAAATCTCAGGATATATGTCTAAATCAAAATAGTGCCTTTACAGCATACTTAATCTATTCTTTCTCTTCTTTTCTTGGGTGATAACGAGAAAGACATTATTATACCGTAAAACAAATGATTTTACAGCTCTCTATAGCTCGAAACACAACTCGTTGAGAGTTCATTTATCTCTCTTTCTCGAGCTCTCACATGATACACGCGTCGCGACGCAGCACGTGTGTTTATGCCTGTGATTTTTCACGGCCGCTTTGCTGTGCGATTTTCTTGACTGAAAATTTAAGCAGCAGTTGTCGCACGAGTGATTTTCGATGAAAATACAGCAGCTTTAATCTCTCGTTGCTCTCGGGCGCGAAAGACTCGAAAAATATATTGCTCATTTGACGCGCGTACACTGTTCGGGCATTGTACGAGTGACAGACTTGTTTTTTTATTTTTAATGTTTTTCCTTTTTTTTTGTTTTGATGAAACGATGAGGCACGGCTTGAAATAAATGAATTAATTGTTCTGTTTACGGATACAACAGAGTTTCGGGGAAAATTGAAATGCAGAGAAATCACAACGCTACGTTTTTTTTTATCTCGTGTATCGTAAATATACGAGCGAGTCGACGATTCTAGTTGATATACCTCGATGTAGTTGATAAATATTTGAATAACTCTTAGATACCCACGCAATAGATCGTAAAAATTATCATTTTTTTTTCTTTCGTGATTGAGCCTGAGAAAATTTATATTAAGCCGACAGGTTCACAAAATTTTTTCCCGTCGCAGTCGTTAACTGCTTCGTGTCGAGAACAGGTGCTTCATAGATACGAAAAATCCTACGACGCCGACGGCAATCATGGACTTGTGTGTTAAATTTTTGCTAATTTCGGCTCTCTGCGCAACGATTGCTGCTGTAAGTTTCGAGATTTTTGGGGCACGACCGCATGCACCCTAAACATTTTTTTTTATTTAACTAGTGAATTATTACAACTCGTGTGCGATTTTAACTCAGTGACTAGAAAAAAAAGTTTTTAAACGCTTGAAATTTTCAAATGCCATAGGCAGCACCGAGGAGCATTCAACAGGAGGTGGTAAAGGGATTGATAGCTACTCTGCCGACAGAATCGCTGACGCTAGTACAAAAGAATACCGAGCAATCAGATAATCGAATACAGGTAAGTTTATTTTGCAATTTTTTTTATTTAATCGGTGCGGAACGACAATCGAGAAATGATTTTTAGTTAACATTCTATATCTATTTTATTCCTAGTGAGCAATTGAAAAATGCATTGCTTTAAATTTTCAGATCGATGGCTATGACGTTATTCACTACGAACTTATTGCTTTCAACAAAGATTACAGGGTGAGTAAAAATAATAATCAATAAGACAATTTTTTCTATTCGATAGATGAATAGTTTACTTGAATTGTAAATTTAAATTTGAAATTGTACAATCGTTTGCAGTTTTATCTTGTCGAGGCCAAAAGAAAAAATAGTACATCGCCCATAGGATTGATTTCCACGACTGAGAGCCCTGTAAGTAACTTTTTTTGTGGTACTATGGAATTTTATTTGATCTTTTAATATTTAGAAAATAATAAATAAAATATTTTTCTAGGCTCAAGAAGAAACGACGGTATCTGTTATCGCGGCTGAGAATATTAATACAACCCCCGAAATCGTTGATGTAACAACCGAAGCAGCTGGTGTCACGGAGCAAGCAACAGAGCCGGTATGTATAAACATCAAAATTTTATTGTTCTTGAAAATTTTTTCACTAGACTATTCTTATATAAATTGAATTTTTAGGCTGTAACTATTGGTGAAGATGAAGTAATTACCACCACTGTAGTACCGGAAGAGACTACCGATTCCCGCAGTGAAATAACAACTGCAGAGCCAATCGAGCTTGTTTCGGAAAGTTCACCTGAAACAACCGAATCTTATGACGAATCTACTACAGAAGAGTCCGTAAACATTGGCACAGAAGAGTTCAACGAAACAACCGAGTCTCACGAAGAAACCACGACTGAAGAGTCCAATGAGTTCGGCCCGGAAAATCCTTCTGAAACCACTGAGTCTTACGCTGAGACAACAACGGAAGAGTCCGATAATTTTGGCACAGAAAATTCCGACGTAACAACTGAGTCCTTGGACGAAACAACTACGAAAGCATCCAACGACGTCAGCTTAGAAAATTCCAATGAAACTACTGAGTCTTATGGCGAAACAACTACCGAAGGATCTGGTGACGTCAGCTTAGAAAATTCCAATGAAACTACTGAGTCTTATGGCGAAACAACTACGGAAGGATCTGGTGACATCAGTTTGGAAAATTCGTCTGAAACCACCGAGTCTTATGGAGAAACAACTACGGAGGGATCTGAAGATGTCAGTTTGGAAAATTCCTCTGAAACCACCGAGTATTATGATGAAACAACAGAAAAATTGACCGTTACCGAGTCGGAAAACTCAGAAGTTATGACCGAATCTTATGACGAGACTACCACAGAGGAATCGATGGAAATCGGTTCAGGTAGTATCGATAAAACAACCGGTTCTTATGGCGAGACTACCACAGAGGAATCCATGGAAATTGGTTCGGGTAGCATCGATGAAACGACCGATTTTAATGAAGCAACGACAACGGAAAAATCAATGGAAATGGGCTCAGAAAGTTCTGAAGTAACAACCGAGAATATTGCTGAAACAACGACATCAGTGCCATCGGACATCATCTCTGAAGTTCCTGACGAAACAACCGAGATTGTTGCCGAGACAACGACAGCAGTGGCTGCGGACATCGACTTGGAAATTCCCGACGAAACAACCGATTCCTCAGTCGTGGATTTTACGACAAATGCAAGCACTGAATCGGTAATTTATCAATACAATTAAATTTAGAATTAATTTGACTAAAGAAATTCATATCTTATGTAGAGCGAAGAATTGACGACACAAGCAAACGATGCTTCGTCCGAGCCCGAAGAGGTGAAGGTGGTTCAATCAGTAACTGAAACGGTATTCAATTCACGATTTATCTAATTTTTTCAAAATCTCAACACAGACCAATTATTTACGATGTTATTTTATTTCAGATTGATATGGAAACGACTGAACAACAAATTTTTACTACAGAAATTCCAAATACCCCAACCACAGAATCAAATACTGAATTAACAACCGCTCATGCTTCAGAATCGGTATTGATATTTGATAATTATAGCATTTTTGAAATATTATAAGCATAATTTGATCATGATTTATTTTTGCTTTAGGAATTATCGACAACAGAAATCATCGAAGAATCTGCACAAGCCAATGAAACGGTATGTGTCATTTAACAACAAATTTATAAATCGATTCATGTATCGCGCATTCTTGTTTACTTATTTTTAATATATTTTATATCCACGCAGTCAAGCCCCACCATTGAAGAAGTAACGGTTACCCAAGAGCCGAAAATTCCTCCAGTCACCGAGTACTTTCCCTCTAATCAAGTAGCTGTAAGTTATTTTTTTTTATTTCGAACGAATCGAATGATAACAAGTCACATAAATTTTTTTTTAATCATTCGACTGCGAACCGTTTCGTTTTGTATACAGCAAGATAAGAAGGATATTGTGGAATCGAACGAGCTTACCCCGGCACCGTCACAATTCGTAACGAGCGTTACGGATAAACCCTTGAGCGTCACCACGCCTGCCGATGTCACATCGTCGTCGCCATCGACGGTACAGCAGCAATCTACGCCGAGTACCACTACAACAACGACGTCAACGCCGAGCACCACGACAACAACGACGACGACCACGACAACGACGACCCCGAAACCGGTAATACAATCTAATTCGCATTTTTATCAAATTATAAACCAAATCAGAGATAAATTACGTTTGATGATTGTTTGTTTTGCTTTTATTTTACAAGGATAAAAAAGGAAACGAACTCAGCGACAGAGCCTGGCGATACGTACTTGCGATCTTGTTGCAAAAGCTTAGCGGCGTAGAGTTTACGCATTAATAAGTTCGATATGTTCTTTTTTATGTAAACAAATCTACATATAGCATAAGAAGAAAGTTATATAGATCATATAACGATATCAAAACGTCGTGATACGACGGTGTACAGTGTCCAGTATCTGAACATTTTTTTTTCTAATAACGATGTAAAAGTAAAAAAAATTCATAGAGAAATATATATGATATTTTCACGTTGACAATCGAGTATCTATCCAAAATAATTTAAATTGTGTGTGAGTATGTATGATGCACTACTGACCTGTTGTCGGACGAGAAGACGACCTTGAGCGAGTTGCCCTCGGAGGTGATGAGGCTCGGGGACCTCGAGCCACAGTAGGTGCCGTGCTTCTTGAGCACGTCGTCGGCCAGCTTGCTGGACACCTCGACCCAGTCGTACTCGCAGGGCTGCTCGTACACGTTGTTGCCCTCGAGGTCGAAGTGCGTGAAGTTGAGGGTGATGCGGTACTGGGCAGGGGCGACGATCTCCCAGACGCAGTGCTTGTTGCCGGGGTAGGTCTCGGGGAAGGACGGGCTGGTGATGGTGCCGTTGTTGGATTTGAACACGCCACCACAGGCGTCTGTAAATATTCGTGAATAAAAATGGTTCGAGTCTCGAGAGAAAGCAGTGATATATTATGTAGCAATCTTACCCTCGCAATGCTTGCCGTCCGAGTGGAGCTCGTAGCCGGGCTTGCAGGTGCACTCGAAGCCGCCGATGGTGTTGACGCAGTCGTGCTCGCAGCCGTGATCCGTCAGGGCGCACTCGTCGAACTCCTTCATGAAGGTCGCCGAGAATCCGGCCTTCTGCACCGAGCTGTCGCTGACGAACTTGACCAGCAGCTTGTTGCCGCTCGAGCGCACGTCCGGCGGCAGCTTGTAGCCGCAGTAGACGCCTATCAGCGGCGAATCGGGCGCGTGTCCGTCTCGGACCTCGAGATAGTCGTAGACGCAGTTGTCGTGGCTCTCGATCTCGAACGACTGGAACTTGAGGGCGACCTGATAGTCCTGGGGCACCGAGAGACGCCAGACGCACTCCTTGCTCGACTGGTACTCCTCGGGATAGTTCGGCGACTCGAGGTGGCCGAGGCCGTCGAGTTTCACGTCGCCCCCGCAGACGGCCTCGTAGCCGGCGCTGAAGCCCGCGTGGCCGCTCTGCCTGGCCGAGGTGACGTAGGTGACGAGCATGCGGCTGCCCGTCGACACCACGGGCTCGGGCATCTTGCCGCTGCCGCAGAAGCGTCCTGTACAGCGAAAACGAGAGAGAGATATTTTTTTACATAACATTTTCGGCTCGTTGCAATATACAATCGATGGTGAACTTTTTCCCTCGTGCTTTTTGCATTTTTTTTTCGATACGGGGCAATTTGTGGTCGCGCGTGAGGATATCGTGATTTTTTATATGTATCATATACACTCGGGGCAGCAGCTTTATCTTATCTAAAAACGAATCGACAAAAAAGTTTATAACTCGGTGCGATGCACGCTTTGAGCGCTACATACTCGCACCTGCCCGCGGCTCCCATACACATCACTTATATCTATATAACTGCAGCACTTGTTTACTTTTTTAGCCTTTTTCCTCTCTCCTTTTTTACGATTATTTCGTGTAACTAGACAAAATGGTTATCTGATCGTTATCTGTACGGCCTAGTTGGCCCCGAAGATTGGTGTCGTGAACTGATTTGTTGTTACCGCAATAACGAGCCCGAATGTATACACGAATATCTTTGATCGATGCGTCAAAAGTTTGAGGCCGCTTTGCAAGCAATAGACATGATGTGCACGTATGCTAGAACCTGAACGATCGACTTAGAATATGGGAGTCATGTAAATTTATGATATTGAAAAATTTTGTGGTTTATTTATTTGCGATCGCAGTGAACAAATATGCGGGGTCGTACATCTCTGTGTTAAAAAAAACCTTTGAATTCGATAAAACGTAAAATATTAAAATTAAAGTAATCGAATCTACATTTTGAGGGTATTGTCACATGAAATAATCGTTAAAAATTAATATATCCATACTGACTTATTTTTTTGTGCAAAAATAAACGAAAAGAACTTAATTCTACATTTCAATTAAAACATTTTGATTGAAAATTAATATTTTAATTCCGACTTCTTTTGCTTGCAAAAATATATAAGAATGTGAAATTATTATTGTAGTCAGCCATCGCCGCTAGATGGTTAGTGTCTTTATCCGTAAATCCGCAAGTGGTAAAGCAAAAATAATCGTATAAGGTATAATCGCAATATTTGTTTGATTAAGTATGTTTGTACATTAATTTTAATGCAATGAATAATAATCTGTAATATTGTACTCATAATTCCGTAAAATGTTGCAGCTCGCTCGCGTACAATCGAGAGATCGAGTTGCTAATTTTTTTTTCTATACAGCCTATGTTCCGCGAATTATACCACTAGAAATTCGAATGTACATGTACACGATTCGGCGATCGTCGACGGGTATAGTCGAAAATCCATTTAGCGAGGCGGTGGCCCGGCAAAACGAGCTCGATCGCGCGCACATAATACTTGACACGTTGCGATTCAGTGAGCGCATCAATAGAGAGACGCGGCGGGGGCGGTATACACATACTCGATATATACGCGCGGAAAAAGAGAGCTATTAATGGGCACAATACTCTTTCCGACGAGATCCAAGCAAGATCATTACTTCGAGAGGGGAGGTGCGCGCATAATAGCAAGCGCAAACCGATACGTCTGTACCGCACACATACACACACTTGTATTATACAGCGCTTCATATACTTGTATGCGAAAATTGGGAGCTGCGCGCATAATATTCGCGTACAGAGAGCAGCGCAGCCTCAGCTAATAATTGTACATGTGTATATACGGTATGTGTATGAGATACTCACCCAAAACGGGACTCTTGTGCCAGTAACCGTCGCGAATCTCGAGATAATCGCTGCGGCAATAGTCGCTCTTGAATATGTCGAGAAAGGTGATATTGAGGACGATGCGCTCGCCGTGGGTCGCGGTGATGCGCCACTCGCAGCGCTCGGGCTCGCTCGCCGGCGAGCTGTTCGGGTGGCTGGGCGAGCCGAAGCTGCCGCTGTTCTCCTGGAACGTTCGGCCGCATTCTGAAAAAATTAAAAAAAAAAAAAAAAAAAAAAAGAAGAAGAACAATTTTTAATTCGCATAAATAACGTTATCGTCGCACGAATCAGCACACGTCGCACATAAGTAGCTTATCGATTACGAATTGCATTGTGGTATTGCATTCGCGCGGCGCATAACAATTCGAGAGATCGTTTTGTACGTGGATGCAGCAGCGTTGCTATGTAGTTGACATTGTTGTCGAGGTACTACGCGGCGCACCCGAGATATCATTGCCACTCGCTCGCTCGCTCGCACGCGCGTTCTTGAACTTTACAGAGCTTTATGCTGTTTCCTCTTTCTCTCTCTCTTATATTCGTCGCGTTCGTACACGTGCTGTCCGCGATGCGTTGTTTTACGTAATATATTGCTTTACGCGAGTCGAGTGTCCGCACACACACGCACGGCTTGAAAAACCAACTATCGACAATGGGAAAAAACAAAGTAATTAAAAGCCCGCGGCGGCCGATTTCCCATACTGGCGATATATGTATGTCGAGCTTTTTCATTAAATTCAATTGATTTCTCGAGGCTACATATACGCAGTATGCAGCCTCGACATGTGCCATATCAAAAAATGTTCTATGTGTACTCACTGTGACACTTGTAAAGGAGATTGGTCTGGGCGATGTCGCCCTCGCTGAGGCGCACTCGCTGGCCGATCTCGGGCCTCTTCTTGCCGTGCATCTCCATCGGCAGGATGGTGTCGAGATACGTGCCCTTGGAGAAGGTGTTCTTCGCGTAGTGCATTATCGAGTCGTAGTCGTAAGGCAGGCCCAGCGAGTTGACCTCGTCGTCGGTCAGCTTGTTGAAATTGTACTCTTGACCTGTGCATACGTAATAGTAATAATGATAATAATGATGATAACACGTGTGAAAATTCGCTCGACATTTTATGTAAAATATTTCGAGAGAGATAAGAGTCGAAGCAGCTGCATTGTACAGGAGTACAAATAATAATAATAATAATCATACAGCGATAAAGTGAGGTAGAAGCACTCACCCGTCATTATGTTGTCGCGTATTATTTGCACGTGTCGGTCGCGATCGGGCCGCGTGTGCTCGTGCCAGAAGCCGACTACGTGGCCGAGCTCGTGCACGACAATGCCGAATTTGTCGCAATTCTTGCCGATGCTAATGGCCTGCGGTCCATTTCCTCTCTTGCCGACGAACGAGCAGCATCTGTTGTTTTATAAAGCAAACGAGAGAAAAAGACACGATATTAAATACGTGACCCAATTTTTCGGTAAACATTTTTCCATGGACATCGAATAGAAAAAAAAAGCATCTCACCCACAAGGTCTCTCGGTGAAGACGATATAGTTGGGATGCTCGCGGGGCACTCGTTCGACGAACTTGACGCACGTGAAGTTCTCCCAATGGCGCATGGCCTGCTTGAACAGGGCCTTGTGCGCGCCGGAAAAGTTGCCATCTATCTCGTACGGTATGACCCCGTGGTCCCAGACTCTTTCCTTTCGCGCTGTGGCGGCGCGTCTGCTCCTGATCAGCTCCGATCGATGATGATGATGATGATGCCTCGAGCCCGACGACGACGTCTGCGCCGAATTAAAGAGTCTGCGAGCCTCCGAGCCGAGGAAGGACTTGTGCTCGTTGTAAAACTCCACCGATCGCATGAGCCGATGATGCTGCTGCTGCCGTTGCCGATCGTCGTGGCCGAAGGTCGAGGCCAGCTGAAGTCGCTCGTCGTCGTCCTCGTCGTAGGCCCGGGCGGCGGCGGCAGCCTCGAGCTTGGCCTTGAGCCTCCGCTCCTGCTGCTTCTGCCTGCGCTGCTGGATCAGCAGCTTGGCCTTTTTCCGGCTTCTGCGTCGAGCCAGACGCTCTCGGCGTTCGCGACCCCGTTCTGTAGCCGACCTGCGGGCACATAACTCGGTATATAGGGGCCGCACGCCACGAAATTCTATTCGCGCAAAGGTCACGGTGCGACACGCAAATCGCGTGTCTATTACAGCTTTATAATTCCGTACGAGTCGATGTGTGTGGGTCATATCGAATAATGCGTACATACATTTCACCCACGCCTACATTATGTACATGCGTGCTATATCGCGAACTTCGATAAGTTCATTACTTACTAAAATTTCGATATTACAAGCCTATTTATTGATTAATTTCGTTCAAAGTAGACATAATTGTTTTCTAACAATTATCGTTTGAACTAGATTCGAGAAAATATTTTACATTCAATTTTTAATTATAAACTCCATCAACAACTAGAAAATATTTCGTAATGTTCGTGAAAAAGAGCTTTTTTTTATACTTTGCAATGAGCCATATCAATTACTCTTAAAAACAAAGCGTTGTTGTACTCGTAATAAACCGCTAATAGTTCAGACATTTTAATTTAAAAAAACGTTGAATTAAATAATTCAATCATAATCTTACTTTTTTTGATGATGTCTTCGTTTGCGAACCGATGCGACATCTGTCGTGGCATTTATTTTGTAATTTGAATCTTTGGTATCATCCTCCGAAAGTCTAGTAATATTTTCTTTGGAAATAGTTTTCTTAGACATTGTCTCTTTCGAATCTGATAATAATCCTGTATCACTCGCTTTTTTACTCTTCATCGAACTGAACCGAGCTTTAGGGTTTCGCAATTTTTTCTGAGGAATCTCGGTAGATATTTCGCTCGTTCTGTAATTTAAAAATTCATGAAATAGTGTAATGCCATAAAATGTGCGTGTGAACTTTTTTGATACGCAACTCACCTAGAAGTGTAAGCACTGTCGTCGACTTTAATTGGATCAATTTTCTTCGGTGCTTTCGAACTAAAAATATATTCATTCTCATCAGGAAAAATAGATTCCGATTGTACGTTATTTTTCTTAACATAATTATTTTTATTACTTGTGGAAACTTCATCTTTCAATTTCGATAATTCTGAAACAATAAATATAATTCATTTTTTAACTCTTATTATAATAGGAAATAATTATTCTTAGTATTCAAAATGTACCTGGTAGGCCCTCCTCTTCAATTTGCAGTCCTTCGACCATTACTTCCTCTCTAAACTTGTCTAATTCATCGAAAAAGGTTCTATTGATTTTCTGCTGTCGCCATTCAGTTTCGACTAAAATATTTGGCAACGCAATGTCTCCTAAGAAGCCACCTACAAACAATTCGTAATGCTTGATTCAATAATAAAATTTGACACGGTGAAATACGCGCAACATTTGGTGTAATTATCGTTTATAAAGCTCAAAAATAACGTTCGCCCAAATTCATCATTCAGACTTTAAGGAAATGCATTTATTAATTTTAATGAAAATCTGATTGCTCGGCAAGATAAATTGGAGCAGCGCGTGAAATTAATGTACATACAAAGAATCTCTCGGCGTGTATATATATTTTGTAAGTACTGCAGCCGCACATACACAGATTTGAGATTACGCGTGTTTATGATTATGTCGAGAGTAGAAAGTGAATATGAAAACCATTTACTCTAATTGCGCGCTTGCGCCTGCATTGTCACGCTTTCGGTTCAAGGGTTCTAAAATGTTTCTCTCTTTCTCTCTCGCTCGGGCTATTTATCTTTTGCTTAATGAGAAAAATACGAGAGTTACAAATGAAAATAGTTTATAACGAGATTATGGCAGAAGTGCAGTTCGTTTAAAAGCGAAAGAATGCTAAAAGTCCGCATAAGCATTAAGCATGCCGCATAGTCGCTTTGTATGCGTATGAGTGGCTTTGGTAGAAAAATTGTTCACGATCAATTATAAAAATTGTCTCGCAAAACATCCGCGAAATAAAGAGCAACGTTTTTACCGCGTGTATTTTAACGGCGACGCAACGCTGTCTTTCGAGTGTGATAATTTACGAGAGATTCTTTTCGCGCGCGCGTTTTAATTCAATTTTAAAATACAACTGATTTATATATTTAATGGTCGCGCGCGCGCGTGAATTAACGAGCCAAATCGTTGACGCGTGGTACGTTGGATGCAAAACTATTCTACTACGGTAAATAATGTCGCCGCGCACAGTGACACACAGTCAAAAGGACTAATAGCTCAACATGCAAAAAAAGTAAAAAAAAAAAAAAAGGGAGAAGAAAAAAATTCTTGCAAGCTTGCGCGTTCTCTCTTAGATGGGCTGGCTTTGACAATCGTTAACTGCCTCACCTCACGCGCCCGTACATAAAGTGCAGCTGGGAAGAAAAGGCCATTGCATCCGACATGCGCGCCTCGCGAAGAATATATATGTGTGTGCGTGTATGTATGTGTGTGTAACGGATGAGAAATTCCAACAATGAAGAACCAGGGTGAATAAAAGTATAGGAAGCCCGAGAGAGAGACAAAAGCTCGAGCTCGACTTCAAATTAGTCGATATATACAACGAATGCTGATACGCGCGGGATTGACAGCTGAGCGGCGAGGAAGAGAATAGTGTTGATGAATAGGGTCAGGCCACGAGGAGCAGCAGCAGCAGCAGCAGTGCGACTTGTCAATTTCAAGTGCCACGGGCCGCACACGTATACACAATTCAAATGGATTGGCGCGCCCGAGACAGAGAGAGAAAAGTGAATTTATGGTCGATCGTTGCACGTCATTCTCAGCAAGACGGGGGGGTCGAAGTGGTAATAACGAGCAAAAAATAAATTTTCTTCGTTTGCTGCAATGCGACTTGGGTCGCAGTCTGGCTCTGTTATTAAACGTCACTTCTCGCCTTTGAAGATTAATCAAAGACAAATTACACTCGGTGTAGATTAAAAGACTAATTATCGAGTTTTGGGGTTTCAATCGTCGCGCCTGCAGCTACATACGTGTGCTTGAATTAGAATCGTTTTAGCACCTGGAAGTGCGATGACAATTAGAGACGAAAGAAATTTTTCCTCTATGCGAGCCTCCTAGTGTGTGCTATACACGGTAGATAACATAATGCATGCAAAAAGGAGGAAGAGAGTAGTAGGCGATGCGGAAAATTGCACCGCTGCACGCAACGCAGAAAAGAGAGTTTATACTCTCTCGTGAGCTGCTTTTTCCTCTTGGATTATCGAGGCTTCTTCACTCTTTTTTCATATCTTCTTCAATTTCTCAAAATCTTCATCGATACGTTTCGGGAATATAATTTTCACCGAAATTTCTCAGCTCCCTTTGTATACATGTACGTTTGACACAAGGTCAGTTGAATTAGTAGAGGGACACTGAATTTAAGGGTCTCTGAAATAAATGTCGTAATGCTTTTGAATCGAGGTATCAAACGAGACGCAAGTATACGTCGCGTTGGATTTACCAGGAGTAATTTTAGATTTGGCATTATGTGTGCGTATACGTGTGTACGCAGGTAAAAGGGCAACTTGGTACCAGCAACGCGAGACTCTTTGATCACTCGACAAAGAAATCAAGATGAATGCGAGGATTTACCGAATACGTTTTATGCTTAAACGTTTAAATACTAAACTACAGTGTAAGGATTCAAATTACACAACGACTTTAAAACCAATGCAAAAACAACGATTTTCAAATTAGTTTTCTGAGATTTCTAGCAATTGATGCATAGTATAGCGACTAGACTTCAGCTCGTGTTGACATTATTATAATCATTATCATTACTATTATCATTATGACTATGAAAATTAGTTGACATAGAGCTCACTAGGAGTCGATTTGGCTGACCACGCTCCTTCCTCCAACAGATCGAGGCATCATCATCATATGATAAGGTAAAAGAGCTTGTTGTGGTAAATACACGCAATGACCATATATCCCTAATACGAGCGCAATCTCGTTTACACCCGGTGTGCAGAGAGTCATTGCTTTTTTTTTCAAAAACTTTTTAATTATAATAACCCAGGCGCCTCTCGGCGCGCGCGATTTTCTCCTTAATGCGTGAAATTTTGCGCGGTTTTCTATTTCGCCGAAGCAGCCACGATGCGCAGCGTTGATCCGCGCGCGCGCGCAAGTGTATATAAGCAACAACATCTCGTGCACACACGCGTATTCAAGAGGAAAACTTATTTAGTCTTAGGTGAGCGCGCGTAGAGCGCACCGCTGTCCGACTTATTCGGTCCGGCATAAACGAAACTTTGTATCTATATGCTCGTGTATATGTAACGCAGCTCGCGACTGGTATATATACGAAGGCGCAGAAATCGGCCACTTTCTTCGCTGAATGCGCTAATGATTTGTCGAAAAAAAGGAAAGTAAACGCATTATTATAAATGCACACGGTATAAAGCCGAGAAAGATTCTCAATCGAGCACTGTGGAGTTGCATTGATAATGATAATGTAGAGCTAAGAAATTAGATTAATTTACGCGTGTGAGTTATATATAGTTTATCGCGAAGAAAAATTCGATACGAGTGCCGAGCGTAAGTCGTTTTTTTATGAGGATTTTTAGTAATTTCTCTCGGTACAATCGCACTCGAATTACGTCGTTATCATCAAAATGATGTATCTTTTACCGAGGTGTCAACCTATAGGCACAACACCATATACTCGATTAACCGTGTAAGTTTTTTTTGGGTAACTCCTTGTATAACACACACGTTAGAACAGTTTAATACACGAATGAATCGAGCGCCTTGTGTCTTTGGAGCGGTCGCGGCATCCCCGCGATGATAAACTTTGACCTCGAGGCACGATCGCGTTTCATTCAACTGCGGGCGCGCTGAGAGATTTACTCGTAAATTGTTATGAAGTCGTCGGTATCGTCAAAAAAAAAAAAAAAAACAACCCATAACCAGTTGTGTGCCAGTATACAGAAGCAAGGTTACATATAAACGAATTCAAAAAAAAAAAAACATATACCCTCAGTGTAAGCATTGATGTACAACGACGAGAGTTTTTTTTTCGTGTATGTAAATAGTGAAACGATCTTATAAGCGCGTAATATATATCGCATCTAATTTGCGTATCTGCTCTTCTTAGCCGCTCTTGCGCGCTGCTAACGGCATCCGGCTTATTAGTTACACTTAACGAACTCGCCTGCGATGTTATAGTAGGCGAGAGGCTGCTAGCTGCGCTCGCGCAAGACACGAAATTTATCGTCATCGTTGTCGTCTCGGTATGTAAGAAGAAGTAGCTCGTGTTCCGATCCGAACATGTGCGCGCGATTATAAGTAAGACTTTATTAGTGAGCCAACTTGAGAAGACGCGAATCTCGAGAAAAGAGTTATACGTCGGTATCAAAGAGGCGCGCGCAAAAACACGAAAGCTCTTTCAGGAATTCCAGAGATTATATACAAAAACATGTGAAGTTTTGAATAAAAGGCGCTCTCTCCGCGTGGCTAAATTAAAGAATTTGAGTTAGAGTTTGAGAGAGAGAGAGCCCATTGAGCCAAAAACGAGCGGCCACGTTTGACCATAGCGCGTAATATATATCTTGCGAGAAGCTCTTAGGAGCTTTCATCGTTAATTTCATCCTTCGCTTACTTTGACTTTAACGTTGATTTTTACTTCTCCGCGCTTATTTCGATTTTTTTTATTTTGCGTTCTTCGCCCGACTCTCTCTCCGAGAAGTTGGGTAAAAAGTTTCGCAAAGCTCGGCCCTTTTTCATCGAGATGCTCTCTTCCTCTCTCTTTGCAAAGACCTTTACACACCTTTTGTCCATGCGATGCGAGAAAAAATTGCCTCAGCAGAGTAGCAGTGGCAGCAGCGGCGCGCGCCTGACTACCCTGAGAAGTTTCTCTTTCTCTCTCTCTTGCGCGCGCGAGCGCTCTTCTGGAGGACCGCAGAGTACAGTAGCATCAAAGTACACGCGCTCGTCTAAAGGGAGCGTCTAAAAAAAAAAAAAAAAAAGAAAGAAGAAGGAAAGGAAAAGGCGAAAAAAAGAGAGAAGCGAAAGCTTCAACTCTCTCGCGCGCGCCCGCGCTGAATGAGCTATATACGCAACGAGAAATAAATGTTTTTAACGCAAAGGTAGTGTACGCATAGCAGCTCCCCGTGCCAGCAGCAGCCCCTGTTCGTGAACGCCCGCGCGCGCCACAGTATTAACTTCCTCTACCGTAAGAGAGAGCGAGAGAGAAAAATTCGTAGGAACTTTTTTTTGAATTTTCTCCCTGTGTATACAAACGCGCGCGAGCGCGAGCCTTTTGTGTTATTATTGCTGCTGTTGGTCGCGGGGCATTAAAAGCCCCGCGCACATACAGCGGTGCAACTTTCGCAATTTAAACCAATCCTCGCGACAGTCGTAACTCCGCGCCGCGCTTTAATACCCCCGAGGGGGGTGGGTGCAGGCGCCGCAAGTTCAACGCCGCGATACACAGAGACGAACGAAAAAAAAAAAGGAGAGAAAGAAAGAGAGAGAACGTTTGAATCGCCGTTGCCGCTGTTGCACACGAGCTTGCAGCACGCGACGCTATAACGCAACTTTCCCGTTGCTTATCGATATAAATCTCGTCTCGCGGCTCGCTTTTCATATTAGCGGACGCCTTTAACGTCGCTGTTGACAATTTATGTATAGCACTGCTACTTTTTTTTATCATTCCCCTCCATTAGAGCGTAAAAGCTCGGTAATTTCCATGACTTCAAACGGCATTGGCAATCAAATGAAACTTTTAAATGCATCAAAAAATCAGTTTCCTAAATGACTTATACCAAACAGTAGTTGTCATATAGATTTGATAATTCAAAATTACGAAAATCGGATTGAAGTATAATGAATGAATAATGAAAAAAAAAAAAAAAAAAATTAAACTCACCAGCTTTGCAAACGTCCAAATCGAGGTCACCGGTGATAAGATTTGGAAAAGTGATGCTGAGAAGCTCGTCGATGGTAAAGCGACGTCGTCGGACTTTCGGCGCGTTATTGTTGACTTGTCGCTGCTCCTGCTGCTGCTCGCGGAACAGCTGATCGGTCGCCGCCGGCTCTATTTCTCTCGACTCGGCGACGTCGACGACGAGCCAACAGCAGCAAATAGCAAAAATCCACGCGAACTTCATCGTGTTTCCGATCCTCGTATCAAGAATCGTAAATCGCCTTATATTACTCCGGATGCGATCTTCTTGCGCGGCGAGACAACTGCGTCTCGTCGGCTTTTTTGTATCTACACGCACGCACACAACTCCTTATACCTTCCTTTATTTCTTCTTTCTTTTATTTAAGCACGCACACACACACAAGCACATGCACACCTTGGGCCGTTAACTGTCACACACTGCGAGTTTTGTTTTCCATTACTGCACTTCTCGTAATCATTCTCGTTTACGAGATCTCGTCGTATTAAGGCGCGCTTTCCTCTGTCACTGCCGCGACATTGCCGTTGTTACCGCGTTAATTGTCATTGTGCTCGCGCGTTACGATCTGATTGTCACTTGGTAATGGGGGGGACATCAACCATGGCGCTTTTAATTTCACAGCATGATGAGCGCGCGGCTTGTTTTCGAGTCTTTGATATATGTCTCGATGGGTCCTTCTATCCCTACACTGGAAAGAGAAAAGTGTATGATGTAATCGAAATCAATATTATTGTTATAAATGAAGAGCTTTCGATTTTAAGATACACAATGTAAGTGATTATTTGATTTTGTGTATATATTTATCGCCTCGCGAATTCATTTAGTGATAGTTCGTATTCGACGACTCATCAAAAATATATAATATGACGATGAGAAACGATTTGGATTAACCCGTATACACATACAAGCTCGCTAGAAACACAATTATAGATTCGCAAATAGAGAGCTTAAACTCGAGTCAAGTGTAAACGAAAATACGCAGAAACGAGAGAAAAAAGCGTGACGATAAAAAAAAAAAGACCAGCAACATCGTAGTTAAGAAGATGCGCTTACATACAGCCCCGTTCTCGCGCGACAAAGAGACAGAGACGAAAAAAGAGCCGAGTCTCGAGCGAGGCGCGCGGCAATGCTCGGCAAAATAGCAAGTCGGTTTTATAAACGGCGACAAAAGAAATAAGAAAAGGGGAGCGAAATAATGGTTGGGAGTCTCACAAGACGAGAGAGAAGAAAACGTAGAAAGAGAAAGAGAGAGATTTACCCTTGCGTCGAGATTTGCTTGCTGCTGCTGTTCGTCGCGGTGCAACAATCGGCGGCGGCTCACTCGTACGACGAAGACGACGAGGAAAAACGATTCTTATATGATATATATATCATGTATGTGGCGTTGTGCGTATCACTCTCTTAGCGGTGGCGAAGGTCAACTGCGACGATCGCGTGCCCGCACTCGTTCAACGTTCGTAATAATAAGTAATTCCGTCGTTATAACTGCACCAGCGGCACACATGAAGCACAGAAAGAAGAGCGTTGTGCGCGTATTATATTAATTTTATTATTTTACTCTACACAGAAGTGCGTTGATAATGTAAGTCAGAGCAGAGTCGCGATGCAACCGATGCCGCTGCTGCTGCTGCTGCTTCTCTCTTACACTTTTAGCCGGTCGCTCTTCTTCTCGATTGCGTATATCATTGCCTGCATAGAGACGCGCAACACTCGAAGACGCAGAGGCTCCTCCGGCCCCACAAGAGGCGGCTACAGTACTTATATATAGATATGGATATATGCGAACGCGCGTGTGTGTACAAAGCGGAGCGCACGCGGCACGGCGCGGCGCTCTTTTATGGGCCGACGCGAGTAGACGACGACGAGGAGCGCGCGCGCGAGGGTCTCGACTGCAGCAGCGTCTGTGCGTGCGTTCTCTCTCTATCTCTCTAGCTGTATAGCTCTGTTGCTGCTGCGCGCCGTGCTCGAAGCGACTGCGAAGAGTGACGCGGAACTCCTAGTTACGAACCTCTCTCGATCTTTTTCGAGCTTACCACTGCCACTGCTACTGCTGCCACTGCTGCTGCTGCTGCTGCTGCTGCTGCTACTGTGCTCCGCTGATGCTGCAACACGCAGACGCGCTCGGCTCCGCGCGTTATCTCTCCCGAGGCCGTTCACCCTTTGTTCTTCGCCGCGCTTGGTGGCATCGCGCGAGGCAGTAGCAGCGGCAGTCAGCTACTAGCTAGCTTGCTAGCGCGCACACACGCACATACGGTAGCCCGCAAAGAAACTCACGTGTATACGTAGATATATCAAATCTAATGCTGTACGAACTTTTGCTTGAACGCGTACGTGTCCGCGTGCGTATTACAAAATGCACGTGCGCAGAACCTTTTTCAAGATCGCGCGTGAGGTCGGGCGAAGCGTGATTGTAGCATCTAATTCTTCTGTGCGAGGTCTCGCATGAGACTCGCTTTACCTTCGAGCCTGGTAGCGAAATTTTCGTAAATTTCTTGAAACCTTGACTAGAAAAAATATATAAATTATGCAATAGTATGACGAAAAATGCCTTTTTGCGCACACTTTTTAATGCTCAATAAGCGTTTTTGACACTGGTGTGCGATAAAATTTTTGATATTTTGTGAAATATCATGCTTGTTATTTATGCACTTTTCGCATTCTATTGCATAATAGTTATTTATGTAACAAGTGCCCAGGCGTTTTTGGGCACGAGTGTGCGGAAAAAGACACGAGTGCCGGCTATGCCGGCACGAGTGGGTGTTTTTTCCGCACACTGTGCGCAAAAAGCTGGGCACGTTTTGCATACAAAATTGTATGCAATAGTAGGCGAAAAATACGTTCATTTAAATGAGGCGTTTTACCGCACACCCGTGTCCAAAATGGGGCATTTTACCGCACACAAGTGTCCAAAAACGCTTTTTGCGCACTAAAAAATGTGCGAAAAAAGACATTTTTCGTCATACTATTGCATAAAATTTTGTATGCAACACGTGCTCAGCTTTTTCCGCACAGCGTGCGCAAAAGACGCCCCTCGGCAACGCCGGCACTCATGTCTTGTTTGTTTGCGCTCGTACTGACTGACGCCAACCCTCGTGCATACACTGTGCGCAAAAACCCATTTTGGCCACTTGTTGCATTAATAACTATTAAAATTCAAGTTAAACTTAAATGAGGCAAATTTAGGATGAACATTAAAATTATATGTATGAGAATGAGTTGGAATTTTAAGCTAGTTCAAATGTTATGAGAACAATTAATAATCTGATAAATCAGCGAGTAAATTGTAAACAAAATATTATAAACGATTTTGACATCTCCCCCTGACACACTGATTATGTTCATAGTTAAAATAAATTAGTTTCAATGTTGACTTTCCCGATCCCGGAAGCATCTATAATACCACATGATGAATGCTACTCATTAAATTTCCGTGGCTCTAAATACAAGGATTCATCGTTCACTTTAGACACCAAAATGGATAAAAGTAAAAAGAAAATCGAGGAAATCGTTTCAAAAGATAACTCAAATGAATACAACACTGTTGTTTCAAACGACAAAAAATACATTTGTGATATTTGTCAGGAGTCATTTACACTCGAATCAAGCATGATAACACACCGAGACATGATTCACAATGAACAGAAAAATTATACTTGCGACAAGTGCGAAAAAAAATTTGAGTTCCGGAGTCATTTGAGTAGACACCAAATATCAGAACACAAAGACCGCGAAAATTTTGCATGCGTCCAGTGCGAGAAGAAATTTGTGAGAAAATCGACTTTGCTTACTCATCAAAAATTAGCACACAAGAATCGCAATGATTTCACTTGCAACAAGTGCGAGAAGAAATTTGAGAATAAATCAATTTTACTCAAGCACAAAAGAATATTCCACGAAGTTTTTAAAGATCACTTATGTGAAAAGTGTGGGAAGAGATTCGGAAGTAAACAAAATTTGCTCTTGCACATAAAGACAATACACCACGATCGAAAAGATTTTACATGTGACAAGTGCGAGGAAATATTTACGAATAAATCCCATTTGCTCTATCACCTAAAAACAGTACATGAAGATCAGAAAGATTACGCCATTAAAGTCCTGAAAGATTACTTATGTGACCATTGCGGTAAGAAATTTGGACATAAAGGTGATTTTCTCTCGCACATAACAGTCCATAAAGACCGTAAAGATTTTGCATGTAACAAGTGTGAAAGAAAATATAGATTCAAATCAACTTTACTCTTACACCAGAAGACAATCCATGAAGGTCGCAAAGATTACGCATGCAACAAGTGTGAGAAGAAATTTGGGGATCCAAGCATTTTGATCAGACACAAAAAAACAGTCCATGAAGGTCGCAGAGATTATGCATGCGAGAAATGCGAGGTGAAATTTGGATGCAAATCGCATTTGCTTTATCACCAAAAAACAGTCCACGAAGGTCGTAAAGACTACGCATGCGAAAAGTGCATGAAGAAATTTGTAACAAAATCGCATTTGCTTACGCACCAAAAGACAGTACATGAAAAGCGTAAAGATTTCGAATGCGAAAGGTGCGAGAGGACATTTGGAACTAAATCAGATTTGTTGAAGCACCAACGGACAGTACATGAAGGTCTCAAAAATTACTCGTGCAACAATTGTGAAAGAAAATTTGTCCAAGAAGCTCATTTGATTATTCACCAAAGTGTAGTACACGAAGGTCATAAAGATTTCGCATGTGACAAATGCGAAAAAAAATTTGGAGTAAAATCGACTTTGCTTATGCACCATAAGACAGTCCATGAAGGTCGCAAGGACTACGCATGCGATAAGTGCATGAAGAAATTTGGAAGAAAATCGAGTTTGCTTACACACCAAAAAATAATTCACGAAGGTCGGAAAGATCACGCATGCGATAATTGTGAGCAGAAATTTGGACAAAAATCGAGCTTGTTCCTACACATAAAAACAGTACATGAAGGTCACAAAGATTACGCATGCGACAAATGCGAAAAGAAATTTGGGGTTCGAAGCAATTTGATCGTGCACCAAAAGACAATACATCAAGGTTGCAAAGATTACGCATGCGACAAGTGCGACAAGAAATTCGGAGAACGAAGTAATTTGAATAGACACCAAAAGGCAATGCACGAAGATCGCAGAGATTTTGCATGTGACAAATGCGAGGACAAATTTAGACTAAAACTGCAATTGCGCAGACATGTAAGGAAAATACATGAAGATTGCGAAGATTATGCATGATGAAATTTCGAGAAGAAATGATGATTGACAATTGTAAATATGTATAGATACTTATATTTTCTGAAATTTAAATAATAATACGTGGACAAAGTACTCTCAAGTATCGAGTATTGAATGAGGCTGTCATTCCTGTTATTAAAAAATAATTTTTTTTTTCATTTTTAGAGCCAAATACCGTAAATAAAATATTAAAAATGTTCAATCCCCTTCTGAAGCCCTCAGCTCAAGCACTGGTTCAAAAACGTAACGATAGTTAGCTCGTACATTTGAAACTCCAAATCGTACGTTTAGTCGAGATAGAACGGTGATTAGAATCCGCCAGAAAGATAGAGGGTGAGAGAGACCCCTTGGCTTAATTCAGCGACAACCCCATTTACGAACGGATGCGCCTTTGCTTGTTTCTTCTTGCTCGGCTCGTGCGCCTCGAGCCTGATATACAATCGCTCGTGATTAGGCAGTAGGAAGCGACTGGCTAATAAAGCTGCTCATGCTGTTGCCTGCGCCTCTTAGTCTTGCGAACCATACAGCCGGCGATGCGCCATATGCTGCGGCTGTGATCGTCCCCATCGTCGTCGTCTCCATCCTTAATTTTTGCACTCATGCAATTACACGATCGATGTCACCGCGCTACACTCCCCAAGACTATATCTCGACAAAGAACCTACAGTTGAGTTTTCTTTGTTTCGAAGATCTGGCAATGTATAAATTAAGACGTGCAAATTTTATCAGATTTACAAAATAACTATTTGGAAGCCGAGCGATTTATCGTATAAGTTCGAGGCTTAGGTTCACGACGTATCTAACAAAGGATAAAAAAGTATTTAAACAAAAATGAGATAAGTTTTTAGTCGTTTACGTAACCTAAACGTAATGTCAAAAATAAACATCAGACAAACAGTGAGTTAAAAATGTTGAACATTTTATTTAAAAAAAAAAAAAGAACGATCAATCGGTTCGAGAAAAATAAAAATTTTTTTAAACACTTTCTAGGGTAAAGGAAGTTTTAGAAATTTACGCTTTTATGAAGTAAAATGGGTCACCGGCAAAGAGAGTGCAACGCAATTTCTTTACGGTCATTATCTTGAGGAACAACTACATCTTTTGACTTTGAAAACAACGCACTAAGTCTTGGTATCTCAGAATAAGTCTTGATAAAAAAATTCTTAATCCTCGTACTTGGACAAAATTTGAAGCTTTCAAAAGATATTTTACCGCAGGACGAAGTCGTCGCGAGACCACTGGTGCGATGCAAGTTTTCAGAGTCAAATTGTCGCGTGATATTTTATTCCGTTATAATAGCTCGTTTCACAAGTGGATATGGGTTTATCTTCTAATGACTTTTGTTTTCCAAGCCATTTTCTCCGACCATTTGAATGCCGAGTTTCTCGCGCGGCGGAAGATGCGAGCTCTTTTACATAGTACAGGAACTTATACGACCGCAGCGAGAAGCGCGTGGCTTGTAATCTATTTCGACGTCCTTAATTTTGAGTTGTAGTTGTTAAACTTGTTTTAAATTCATGAATCACATTCAAAATTATTACATAATAATTGAACGACAAAAACCAATATGTAAGGTTAAAATTATGTATTGACATTAGTCTCGTACTAGTATACGAGTCAGTGAAAATGGTTGTTTGTGAATGAGCCCGTTTATCTTCCCGCAGAAAGATAAATTGTTGTACAGAAATATCGACAGTTCTCGCTCTGTCCGAGGACTATGGAGAGGTTTAAGTGTACGATTTGAAATCTCTCTGATAATTGATGTTATCTAATATTTTTAAGGTCGTTGGTATATTTAAGTAACTTTATTTAAAGCTGAGTTCATTATTATTATAATCCAAATATTTTTTCAAAATGATTGACATTTTTTAAAATTAATCTTCACAAGAAAAATATTCAAAAGCATAATTTTATTTTAATCAAATTTTTTTTTGAGCACAAATTTGGAAGATAGGTGAAAAACATAAAATAGTGCAATATGTCAATGAATGTACGACATCGCTTGTGTGCAGTATATTATTTTATTTATTGCAATATTCCAGAGTTAATAAGATAGGTTGTATGCGCCATATTTCGGACAGTAAAGAAAAAAAATGTTTCTTTACACATTTACAGAGCTCGTGCACGACGTTTGAAAATTTTTCTAAAAATACCCGTTGATAGAAAAAAAGTAACCTTTCGAATGCGTACATACACTTGGCCAAAAATTGCTGGTGGTATTTTAAAAATATAATTAAAACCAAAAAAATACGGTTCGTCCATTTTTCGACCACCTCACTGAGCTGTCAAAGACCCTGAGCTTGTAACTCGGTTTAAATTTTTATTTTTGACATCTGAAAGCATAATAAATGAACATACGTGTCTAGAAGTGCACGAGGAACCTATTGTCGATTTACAAATTGAATAAAAAACTTTTGAATAAAAATTATTCAGGATTAATGCAGGTGGTCGAAAACTGCATGTATAATTGTACTGAATAGCCCAATTTTCGACCAGGTCAGAATTATAAATTGAGCAACGAAAAATATTTAATAATTTTCAAGGGTACTAAGAATTTTCTCTGAAACAATAACATTTATAGGATCGAAAAAATTTAAATTGAACCTTCTTAGAAATTGAATAAAATGAATAACTTTTAAACTGCACATCGTATTTTTTTGCGATACTCGTTTAATTATGTTCCGACTCTATCTGTAGTGTTTCCAGAAAAACCTCCTATTGGTAAGGTAGATTTCATCAGTTTTGAGCAATGTATCGCTGACATGCGGGGAAGCGAATTTGTGTCATCTACTGGTGAACTGCTGCAATTTATATCCTTACGATATAACTCGCAATTCGCATGGTGAAACACCGCATGACTAAGAATTGAAATTTTCTCTGAGAACGGAGTGTGAAACTTTTACTAAGATCATTAATAATGTCTGTGAGTAGTAATAAATGTGATACGCCTGGATGTGAAAAGCAAGCCAGTTTACAATGTCCAACCTGCATAAAAATTGGAATCACAGGATCCTTTTTCTGTAATCAGGTAATTTTCTTAACCTACAAGTCTCTTAACCAAGTTGGTTATTTTTGTCTTTTGATTGTAAGTATTAAAAAAAACGTCATAAAATTTTAGGATTGTTTCAAAAGCAGCTGGAAAAGCCACAAACTATTACATCAGCTCGCTAGTAAGTTATAAATTATAAACTATAGTTTTAAATTACATGACCAGTCTTGTATATACAATGGTCTGCTAGTTTATTATTAGATAAGCTGCTTATATATTTTTAAAAATACCAACATAAGTGTCATTGAACTCTTTTCCAGAAAAACAGTGTAAATTGTTCTTCTGATAAACGTTAAATTCAATATAAATTTAATTGTTTTTATGAATGTATTTTTTTTATAAATTGAGTATGAATTGCAGTATTAATTTTTTAGAGGGTGATACTGGAAATTCTAAAGAAGAATATAACCCATGGCCAAGTTTTCAATACACTGGTAAATTGAGACCTGCACCTCGTGAGCAACGCAGACCAGCACCTGCTAATATAATGGCCCCAGATTATGCTCATCATCCTGATGGTACACCTGTATCCGAACAACTTGCTAGATCATCTACAGTGATTAAAGTATTAGATGATGAAGAAATTGAAGGCATGCGATTAGCTTGCAAGGTATATATTTAATCTTCTTTCCTAACTGTAACTAAACCTTATTTTTACTTAAGTCAAACTGTTTTAGCTTGGGCGCGAGGTACTCGATGAAGCAGCAAAGGCATGTGGCGTTGGAGTAACTACAGAAGAAATAGATACAGTTGTTTATGAAGCTTGTGTAGAAAGGGAATGTTATCCATCTCCATTGAATTATTATAAATTTCCAGCTAGCTGCTGTACTTCAGTCAACGAAGTTATTTGCCATGGTATTCCTGACAAAAGAAAGCTGCAAGATGGAGATATTTGCAATGGTATTTTGAATACTTGACTATTCTCGATTAATTAATCTAAAATTATAGCCAATTTAATTACATTTTTTAGTCGATGTCACTGTTTATCATAGAGGCTTTCATGGAGATTTGAATGAAACTTTCTTTGTTGGGAATGTTAAGCCAGAAATAAAAAAACTGGTTGAAGTAACTTACGAGTGCCTTTCCAAAGCTATTCAATTAGTGCGTCCTGGAGAAAAATACAGAGAGATTGGAAATGTTATTCAAAAACATGCCCAGGCTAATGGGTTAAGTGTTGTCAGAAGCTATTGTGGTCATGGAATTCATCGTCTTTTCCATACAGCTCCCAATATCCCTCATTATGCCAGTAATTAATCTTTTTTTATAAATAAATCATAAAGCTAATTATTATGCAATACATTATCTTTCAATGTGCTTTTTATAGAAAATAAAGCTGTTGGAGTAATGAAGGCCGGCCACTGCTTTACCATTGAACCAATGATATCTCAAGGAACATGGCGCGACACAATGTGGCCAGATAACTGGACTGCCGTTACTGCTGATGGCCAATGGTCAGCTCAATTTGAACAAACGCTGCTAGTAACTGAAAATGGATGTGATATTTTAACAAAACGCAGAAATAAGGAGGGAACACCTTGGTTTATGGATAAAAAGTAAATCAACAAAAATGAAAAAGATAAATGATGTAAATATGAATATATTACATTGCCAATGATAACAAATAAAACGAATTATTATACTATAAATCATGAACTTCCATAAAATACTATATCTAAATTGTCATTCATCCATCTGTATACCACTCAAGTAACAATTGCTTGAAACATAGATATTGGCTACTACAATATAAGATTTCTACAATTGACTGTTGTGCATTACTGTGAGAAAATTTTATTGTTTCACCACGATGGTTAGTATTTCAATGAACATATATTTGGAATAGAGGATAGATATCATCAAATCATATTTTCCTAATGATGATGTATGATAAAAGTGCAAGTGAATAGATACAATATGCAATTACAATGAAATTTTACAACATGAACGAGTATGAAAAATGACAATGAATGAATGGGCTAACTAGCGCTTGACTTATATCAGAATTATTAGTCTTTTAAGAGTTTGACGCGTCTTTAGCATTAAATTTACTCAACGAGAACAACTTAATTGGGCCGAATCGAGTCCAAATTCGCTTAAAATCTATGCGATAATTTCAAACGAGTAACGATACTTAAAAATCTACAGCTAAAATTAATAAATTATTTCGAATGTCTCCTCGAGTATAGAAGAAATCGTAATTAAATAAAAAAAACCTAGCTATTTAATGATCAAATTCATCCGCATCACATTTTTTGTTCTTAAGCTATTCGCGATCCGAATTCAGTCTCTTCTGTCGGCGACTCGTTATTTCGTGAATTGTCAGCCTCGTCTCTCTCGTACTCGTACTCCTCGGAATTATCTTTTTCCGCGCTCTCGTCCGACACCATTATTCTGAGTGATAACTTTTCATCGTCCTTGGTATCCTCTTTCTTTCCCTGAAAAAGAGAAAATTTTTATTATTTTGATCGTGAAAAAATTTGGTATTCAAAATTTTCAAAAATCGTTTCAGTCTTTTTATTCAAAAAAAGATACACATATTATTCCTTTTGATGTTTTTGATGAAAGGAAAAAATTTGAGCATCTTTTTTGTGGAGCGAAGAATCTCCCTAAAATATTTGGAACAAAATCGTAGTTCCATAGGTCAAGTGGTCCTCGTTCGTAAACGATTCATTTGTCGAACAGATCGTAAAATTTATAGTGGTCGTAAAAGCGTCAATTTGTCAGTATATTGCAGCGCACGATTTATCGATCATAAAAAATGGTGTTTTAAAAATTATAAAATTTCACGATTTTAAGAGTTTCTAAGTAAAATATCTACTTGTCCTTTATTTTCAAAGAAATACGATTAGCGAATCGCATTGTAAGTGTTAAGAACTGAGATATTGTTTCACGAAGGATCGAATGTATCTTTGCTGAATCGTATTTTTATTGAAAACAAATTTTCAAAATGTCTTTGTCAAATTTATGACTTGTTGGATGTACATAGTGGGGGGAAAAAACGTACTTTTTCTCTTTTCCGACAGCTCTCGATTTCGACGCGTCATCGCGGCGCGAAACGATGATTGAAAAATCCGCACGACAATGCGGTGCGCAGTTGGTTTTATTGACGCGCGAAACGAGCTCATATAAAACGAAATCACTACCCAGCTGACACATACATACATGTATAATACGACGTATCACACATACCTCGTCGGACAGTGGGGTGTCGCTTCGATTTTTGTTGCGCCGATAGAACAATTTTCGCCGATGCTCCAGCTGCTTCTGCGTGTTCGAACTCTGTTTTTCGCTCGCCACCTCGTGCTGCTGCTGCTGCTCCTTATCGCTCTCGTCCTTGTGATTGGAGGGCATCGACGACGATGCCGACGACGATGACGACGACTGTTGATTATTCTGTTGCTGCTCCCTTAGTCTTTGGCGCTGCTCCTGCTGCTGTTTGCGCAGCTGACCGATCAGCTGACTGTTGACGTTTCCGGCTGCGGCGAGAGCGGCCAGTGTTTCCGCCGCGTCTCGGTTGGGCAGGGTCGTGTAGAACTGGCTCGTCAAGCCCTGCGAGTCATATTAAAAATTCATAGCGCTTGGGTACTACGTGCTTTTTTTTTGTAAGAGAGGCGGAGCTCAAACTATCTCGCGAACTCTCGGAAAATTTAGCACCAAAAGCGATGACTAAGGATAAATTTAGCGCGCGCAGCCTGTAAAACTGTAACGATCGCGTGATAAACGATGATGAGCTTTTTCTTTTTTTTATTACATCCTACAGGCCCGTTGTCGCGCAAAATTTACTACCCCTTGGCGCGCGCGCGAATATGAAAGATGAGATTCGGAGCAAGAGAAAGAGAAAAAAAAACGGCGTTATATACCTTATCTTCCAAATAGTTGGCCGCGGCGGCTTTTTCGTAGTCGATGTTGTTCTCTGGCTGGGCGCCAGCGTCGGCCGCGCCGACGCCGATCGCGCCGACTTCCTGCACGTCGCTGGCGTCCGGCGACAGGCTGTAATCGGCGCTCACGCGGCCCGAGGCGTAGTTCTGATTGACAAATACGCTCTGCTGCTGCTGCGACTGCGACTGCTGCTTCCGCTGCTGTTTCGGCTTATCGGCTTGCTCGTCGTAATTGAACGAGTGGAGGATCGGCTGCGAGAAGCTCGTCTGCTGCTGCAAAAAAAATAGAAAATAAAGCTTCCATTTATAAATAAAACACTCGTAACTTCCAGTACATTTGTATCGATGCGCCCTATTATCATGCGATCTTTTATTTTTCATCGTTTTACTATTGCAGCATAATCATCGCATTATCGAACAAGTTTTTTTTTCCTTATTCTCGCTCTTTGTGCTTACGTCGCAGCTCTCCGTTAATAAAGCTTAATGGACGGAAAAAAGTGGGCGAACTGCCTACGCGACGATAAACTTGAAAAAGACTAATTACCGTCGTACTTCGTTCGAGTTATAGAAATTAAAGCGTCGCAGCGAAAAAATCAATGGATCAATAATTGTATACACAATGGCTCATCACACACCTTGGCGTCGGTATCGTCCTGCAAGCTCTGTTGCTGCTGCTGCAAAATCTGCGTGAGCTGCTGCTGCAGCAGGTGCTGCTGGATCTGGGGCTGCTGGCTGAGCGCGTACTGGTCGGTAAGCTGCTGGGGGAAAGCGTTGAGGACCTCGTAGAGCTTGGTGGCCGATATGGTAGGGCCGCCGGCCACGGGCTGGCCGACGTGCAAGTCCTGTTGCCCCGACGACTGACTGTCTCCGCTGCTGCTGCTGCTAACGCCCCCAACGTGCATCGTGCTGTGCAGATTCATCGAGGCGCTCGAGTCCGCGTCCGAGTCTTGCTGCTGCTGCTGCTGCTGAGACGAGCGCGAGAGCGACGATGATGGATGGTTCGCGTAGACGTCGTTAGCCTGCAACTATTTGTGCGCAAAGGGGAGGCTTTAATTTACTGCATAAGGTGTCACGGCTTATAAAAGGTGTGACGTGTTATATATAGACACTTTTATACTCTTTGTTTTTCTAGGCGCTAATTATCGCGAGCGAAGCTTTTCACCCGCACCCTCTATATATGTATATAAAAGCTGATCGGAGCGCGAGTGACTCGTTTGAACTGGCATGTGCGAGTGCAGCTTGCCGCGCGGGAACGACGATGATGCACAGAAACAAAAGTTCGAAAAGTATATATCGTATGCACGATAAAAAGCTCTTCTCAAGCTTGCTCTGCAAAGCTCCCGATTGCCACAAAGACTCGTCGTTACGTATATATAGTCATTATTTTCAATTGAAATTAATTTATCCAGCAGTATAAATACTGTTTCTCACGGTCGTATTGTGTGTATTCACGGTAGAATGACGAGTGGTGTACAGTAAAGCGGGCGTTATGAACGGAGAAAATGCATTAACCTCGTTAGCGGCGATAATGCACGAACGATTGCGAGCGCGAGAGAGTCATAACGCCTGCCACCCCTCGCGCCCACTTGTCCGATACGGTTTCTTCTTCGTCGTATTATTTCAGGGACAATTAGCGCTCGAACAGACTCGCGAGCTTTCGTGACGCGCCCGCCCCCGTCTATCGGCTATTGTGTACGAGTTTTGACGATGCGCTTATTTGTGCACGCTCGAGACAAAAATCAACTTTATCCAGCGAGAGGATATTTATAGTTATAATAAACTTTTATTCTTTGAATATATATATATGGATGCGATATAGATGACGAATATGGTATTGTCGATAAACGCGTCGAATCGATAAATTATCGGTGCTATAGCTTTCGATCGACCCGCGCGTATCCGAACTCGCATGGCAAACACATTATATTGCCCACATATTGTGCGACTATATGCTATACAATACCTGTTGCTCCTGCAAAACAGCGGCGTACTGGGCCGCCGAGTCGAAATCCGGCGTGAAGTACGTGGCCGGGGTGGCCGAATTGATCTCGTTGGATTCCGTCACCTCGTACTGATGGACCAGCTGGCCGACGCTGCTGCCGGGCGAGATCCGCTGACTCTCCACGTTGGCGTCTGCTTGAAAACAAAAGAAAAAAATTCGCAATAAAGTTTATTATCATTATTACAATAGTGCGGTGACAGTACAAGTGAGTTCGATACACGTAAAACTTTGATAAACTTTATTCGAACTTTGAGTACTCGCTGACCCATGCAGTGCTTTTATAATGTACGCTACCACTGCTACATGAACTATGCATCGATCGTATTTGCGCGTTGAGAATTTCTCAAAATTCGTCGACGCAATTATATTACGCATTATACACACGAATTGTGTGTAGCAATGAAACGTACGTGCTATACCCGAGACTCGGCCAAAGTAATCCGATTTATATGTATATCACCGCGGCCGGGACGCGCAGCACACGGGCTCGCGTGGCAAAATTCGAGTCCTCTCGACGCTGCTCGAGCTTAATATACTTTACCTTTTGATTTTGCCTCTATTACGTTACGCGCGTAATATACTATACTCACTGCTGTGCTTGCAGAGCTTTTTGCGCTCGCACGGTTACATGTGCGCCGCACCGGGCGAGCTCCGAGCTCGAAGCGAGCAAAGAGTAAGCGAGCGAGCTTTTGCCTGTGATTAGTCGATCGGTCGAGTCGTAGAGCTCTGTAAGTACACATTTTTCTAGAGGGGAGAGAGAGAGAGAGACGCGGCTCTTTCGCGTAGGCGCTCGGGGGAAAAGGGGAAGCATATAACAGCTTTCGAAGGCATGAAAATTGCATGCAATCGCTGGTGAAAAGAGAGAGAGAAAGAGGGAGAAAGAGAGAAAGCAGCGTAAAGAAAGAAAAAGAGCGAGATGGGCGCTTATTGAAAAGCTGGGCAAACACTATCAGGCGCGCGGGTCTATATGGCAAAACTTTTTTATCGACTTTTTCAAGGCTCTCTCTTTAGCTATATATCTATATATAGTAGTCCTGTAGCTTATAGCAGTAAGGCATGTAAAAAAGGGATTTTCCTGTGAAAAAGAACTACTACTACTACTAATACTACGAGCGCGTACCAAATGCTCTGCAAAATTTTATGCTCATTCCATTCTCACCTTGACCATTGAAAACCGTGGAGTAGTCGACTTGCGAGACGGAATACGTCGGCCTCTTCATCGACTCTTCTTGTTGTTGCTGCTGCTGCTGCTCCCGTTGCTGTTGCTGGTACTGCTGCTGCTGTTGGAAGGATTTACTGGCTGGTCCGAGATTCGGAGCGGGGATCGTGTGTATGGGGCCGCGATCGTCGTCCACTCCGGCCCGATGATGATGGTGATGATGATGATGCAACGGCATAGACATCTCCGGACGGTACTCGGGGCTGTACTGCTGGGGCAGTTTGGCCATCGACTGCAGCTCCTTCATGGGCCCGATGACTCGTTGCAGCGACGGCTGAACTACCGGCTGATGTTGTTGTTGTTGGACTTGCGGTTGTTGTTGTTGCTGCTGCTGTTGTTGCGGCTGTGGCTGCTGCTGCTGCTGCTGTTTTTGCTTATTGAGCGAGCCGAAATTCATTGGTCCGCCGAGTAATCCACTGATGCTGGCCGGCATGGGCTTGTAGGCGCTCGGCACCACGTTGAACATGGGCGGCATCGGTGATCCGGGTGGGCCCGGTGGTCGACGGAATCTACACGATAAACATGCGTTGCAAAATTATGAGTCGTTATTTCGACGATCGGCTAGTTCTACTTATAATTATTGGCAAATTCAATGATGTCTCTCGAGCTACAGCTGCTCGTACGCGGTCGGTACTAATCCTCTCGCGACTATTTTCCGATTGTAATAACGAAGCGCATATCTCGAGTATACACGCACAGTTGGCGGCAATCATCTCCAAAATTGCCCCAGCAGTAATAATTCGTATGCTCTATTAAGTTGGCTCGTTATTATTCTCCCGCAACTTCGCAACTACGAGCTACTGCTGCTGCTGCTTGTGTTTCCATTACAATTGTGGCTACAAGGATTACACGAGACGAGAGAGAGAGAGCAGTTTCTATATCTATCGAGCCGAGGCTTTACGAACTCGGACTTGTAGAGTTAATGATAGTTGAAACGAAGATAAAAAAAAAGAGAAAAAAAAACAACAGACCCCACGAAAACAATGTTAAAAATTAATTGTCGTGAAAAAAAAACAACCGCTCCGAAAATTAAACCGGTGGAACTAACGGGCGCGCGATATATATCAGCGAAACTAGAAGAGATCGTTTTCACGAAAAAGGAAAATAACATTCTCACTCGCGCCAACGAGCCATTTACGTGTACAAGCGAAAATGAGACTTTATTAACGCGTAAATAGAAAATTTGTCGCGGACGCACGAGAATTTATTATTTTTCGAGCGATTAAAATATCCACGTATATCACACAACTTTTTTTTTATTGCCGTCGCTGATAAATCACAAGCGCGAGCGCGCGGTAAATTCTCGTAATCCAGTTGTAGAAGCTTTATTCTCCCATTGAGAGAAAAAAATTTAATTGAAATATCCCCTAATTACCGCACGCGCGATATCGCTTGGAGCCGGGATATGGGAAATGAAAAAATTTTCATTACGAATCGTTACACTACCGCGTCGTTCGCAATTCATATCAACAATGATACGCGCGCGCGCCCAAAGTGCATTAGCCCGAGCCGATCCGGAATTAATTTCCGCGTGTAAATATTATCCCTGCCATCGAAGCAGGCTCGAATTACCCTCGGCCAATAATCGATGCATAACGGGGGCCACACGTATAAAACATAGTTGCACTTTGTCGTGCTGCTCGTGAAAAGAGGCTCTCGAAGCTGCTCCTGGAAAACAATTGCCGCAGGCAGGCAGGCAGGCAGGCTTTGGAGCTATTTATCGCGCACAAATAATAAGCCCGAGAGCCGAGCGTAGTGGCACAATAATGAGCGAGGCATTAATCATAGTGTCGCGAGCTCGCGCGTGCATACTCGTGTAACGCGAAACAAACACCTACTAGTATTTACGCTCGAGAAAGACGAAGAGAGCGTGTATGCGTGCCTACGCGTACAACACGATGATGATGTATAAATATACCATTTCGCGTGGAAAAAAAAATAAATAAAAGCCGTGCCATTTAGCTGCTAATTAAGCGAGCTTTTACAATGTGTAATGTAGACAAAATGATGACACTCCATCGTACCTGTAATTGGGCGGCTTGAAGATCGGCGGCCTCTTGTGAAGAAAGTTGGGCGCGCCCATGTGTATCGAGTTGCCGCTCATCGACGGCGGCAGGCCTCCGCCCCCGGGACCGAGCCTCGGCGGTCCGGGCGCCCAGGATTTTTTGTAGATCTGCGGCGGCGGCGGCAGAGGCGGGGGTGGCCCACCGATCAGCTGGGGCGGCGGTCTGCGGTACTTGTACTGCGCCTCGGTGCCCTCCAGCAGCAGGATCACCGCAAGCGGCAGCAACGCCAGCCTGCAGTTCGTTCGCTGCAATAGAACACGCACATATAGACAATGATGCAAATGTTTCGTTTCGTTTGGATATCGTTGTTATGCGCTATGCCCTTCCTGTCTTTCGTTCTTTCTTTGCTCCTATTTTTTTTCATTATTTACGCCCGAGACGCGCCTTTACAATCAACGTCACGCGCTGCTCTGTTTACAAATAACGACTCCGCTTCTATGCTTGACGCGCCGGAGCAGCAGCAGCAGCGAGTAAATTCATCTTGATTCGCGGCTTAAAACATGCCCGTATACGTAGAGCAGAGAGAATGGCATTGCTATTTACATTTTTACAGTGGGTGCACGAGGGTAGAAAAAAATTGCCCGAGCAAACGGTCGATACAAATTGCCCTTTCCATCTTTTTCTCTTTCTTTCTTTCTTTCTTTCTTTCTTTCGCTCCTTTTTCTCGCGATCGCGCGTACGGCACTTCTTTGATTAAAGTCACTTCGCATTGAGAAAAGAGTAAAATGATACAGAAGACTATAACCGAGGCAAATTGATGATATCGTTATTTATTTTGATTGCTTGATTTTTTTCGTTTTTTTGTATGAACGAGAACAAGCGCTGGCCGTTAGAATATTGTTGAGTTTTTTTGCTCTCTCTCTTCTCGCGTCGATCGATATATCGTTTTACTCGAGTGTTTTCGCTTCGTTTTTTTTTTATTGTTTTGGTATATATTTGTTTTGTTCTCGACGAAAACTAAGCAATTAATAATTGATAGTTTATACTGAGCACGATTTCGCTTGCGCGCCTATTCATATCTACGCCTATTGCCTGTGTATCTAGACAACCACGTGACAGTGACAGAGACAGAGTGACGATTTTTCGACGCGTTTTGCACGTCGCTACTACCTCAACAATGAAAAAAATAAAATAATAACTCGCGCGCAATTCGAATCTAGTGCCTATATAGGACGAACCACTTCAAATATTAATCTTTTTTTTATCCACGCGGCACCCCGGTGGATTTTTTTCCCATTTTTCGAATTCGTCTATACGCGCACGATGAAAACGCTACTCTACTATACTTTTGATCGTGCTCTAGCTTGGCAATATGTCAGAGTGTACGCGAATAAAGTAATGTTAATTCGCGGGCTTTTGCATGAAAAACTTCCCTGAACGCAAATACCCTCGTGCACACACAAATACACTGTTCCGTCTTTGGCTTTTGCGTAACTTTAACGTGTGCGTATGCGTGTATGTGCGTTAAAAAACAACTTTTCTACCACAAATAGTGAAAAATGAAGGAAAAAATGGATTATACCGAAGGAAAAGTAACCCGCGGGCTAAAAAGTAATTTGACGTGTGCAGGATAGGGAAATTTTCTCTCGTGCAGTATTCGCCGCGCGAGAAAATAAATCGCAATATTTATTCAAATGTAAACGAAAACGTGTAGTTGGATTTTTTTCTCCCACGCCCCAATCGAATAGCATGAGGTAAACAGACTTGCAACAAAAATTGATACGTGAAGAAAAAACTCGACTGAAAAAAAAAAAACGAAAAAACATAGTCGTGAATTCGATCTCTCGCTTCGGCATTTATTTGCGCACTCACACTCACGCTGCATGCACGCGGCGAAGCGCTTGATTTTCCTAAAACCGCGGAAACACGATGGATAGGATACGAGATAGTCAACAGCGATTCTCTCAGCTATACGTGTATCGATCGATCAAAATTATCCAATTAAGAAGGGAAATTTTTCAATTCGCCGCGCGTAATGAAATTTGTCGAAAACGGAAACAGCGAGTGACAACGAAAAAAATGTACATGGCTAATTGAAAATAGTCTCGTATAATACACGAAGCATGCAGAGTTAAGGCGCGCGCCTGCCTACATAATACGGAAACGCGGGATTAAATCTCCTTGATTGGAAATGAAAAGAAACAGTATATTAGCGCATTAAGCTAGCTCGGGTAGGAAAAAAATTACACACCGTAGGAAGAAAAGATCAATCCAATTTGCGAGCAAATTTATGGTGCACCTGCACAAAAAAGGGATCAACGCGCGCGCGGATTTATTTCCATCTACGCGACTTTGTACGTGTATCGCGTGTTATTATAAGCCTCGTGCGGTGCGGTGCGCGCCGCGAGCGATAGGTCAATTTAATACATTTATATATGTACGCGTACGAGGCTTATACCGAGGCGGAATCGTCGCGTAAAAGTCGCCGAAGAAACGGAAGCAGTAGCAGCAGCGGCGATGTCGGCAGCGAAAAAAAAATCCAAGCCGAAGTGGAAAGCAATAGGATCTTGGCTCGAAACTTTCATCGTGTACGCGCGCGCGTGTGTGCATGTTCGAAGGCCCTCGCGCGAGCACCGACCGACCGAGCGATATCATATGGGATTTCTCGTGTCGCGCGAGTTATACACATCAGCAGCTTTCCCGCGAGCCGCTGCTACGACTGTCCGATGCTCGTTGCGCGTACAGTTCGTCAACGTATACGCGCGATAGATGTGTATACATTTTGTGAAAATAAAACGAACGAGAGAAAGGAGAGAAGAGACGAGGATATGTCGAGAGAAAAAAAAAACAGTACGAGAGATATAGAGCTAAAAAACGGAGTAAGCTCGCCGCGCGAAGAGAGACAAACGACAAACAAACGAAAAGATCCACGCGCGCGCGCGGGCCGATTGACAGCCGAAGCTGTGACTTTTTGCCGATTGAAAGAGATCGCCAACTGCAATTCCCATCGCGGCGGAGTCTGCGCATAGGCTCTTAATCCAGGCACACGCGAGGTTCGATTGCAATAAGCTCATTTGCCGCGCGTGTAGATATATAAATAAAATCCGTATTTATACGACTCTAGGCGGCTCCTAAAAAGGGCAACCGCATGATATAGAGAGCTCGGCTCTTATGTACACACACACACACATCGCGGCGAGTGCAACGGTACAGCAAATAGCTGAGTATATTATATATATACATATCGTACATGTAGTACACACTTACACACTTATATACGCACACCTGTTGATAAACGAGTTACGACGACGATATGTGCTCGTGTGTGTGTGCAGTAGTGCCTCTATGCGTGCAGCGCGTGTCGGATCGCGGAGTAAGGCGCGCGTGAGTAGCGCCTCTCCGGAAGTGGGACACGCCGCGTGTGCCACATAATCGCGAGGAAAAGCGCGAGCTCGTGCTCTTATATATATGGGTCAAAATAATACTTTTTTACAAAACCGTGCGCACGTATGTCACCGATCTTGACGCGCTTTTGGTATGTTATAGTACATGGTAAAAAGGTCCCAAAAAAAAATTTTTAGACTCCCTCCCCCCTCCTACCCCCCACTTCCGGTATAAACGTCCATTTTCGATCTATATTTTTTCTGAGGACATGAAGCAAGTAAAAAATCTGAAAAAATTCATAAAAATACTTTTCCACAATCCAAACAACCTTGAATTTTTTCAGATTTTTTGAGTGCTTCAGGCCTTCAGATAAAATCATTGAAAATTTCAAAAATCGAGATACGGCGGTATGAGCCGATGTAGTACTCGGAAATTTTTTCAGTTATTTTTCGCATTAAAAAACATAACCTCAATTTTTTTCAGATTTTTTCAGATTACCTAACGCACCTTTTGAAGCCAAAAACCGATTTTTTTGACGAAAATAATTTTTTTAGGACAGTACGGAGCCTCGAAAAATCTGAAAAAAATTTTTTCTTGTTTTTTTCATCAAAATACGTAATCTCAAATTTTTTCAGATTTTTTAATTGAAGGCGATAGCTTCTAGGGCCGAAAAATGCTATTTTTAACAAAAAATGGTTCCTAGAACCCGATGGTTCCGGTGAAAAAATTTGAAAATATTTTTTTTGAATTCCTTGTCAAATTTTAATAAATTTTGACCGTTTCAAAAGTTCGATTGAAGCTTCCTAGCTCATTTTAGAGCATCAAACGAGTTTTATCATTCCTTAATGTCTTCAGAAACGTCTTCAGATATTTTGCACTAATCTTTGTCCTGCTCTAAAATGAGCTAGGAAGCTTCAATCGAACTTTTGAAACGGTCAAAATTTATTAAAATTTGACAAGGAATTCAAAAAAAATATTTTCAAATTTTTTCACCGGAACCATCGGGTTCTAGGAACCATTTTTTGTTAAAAATAGCATTTTTCGGCCCTAGAAGCTATCGCCTTCAATTAAAAAATCTGAAAAAATTTGAGATTACGTATTTTGATGAAAAAAACAAGAAAAAATTTTTTTCAGATTTTTCGAGGCTCCGTACTGTCCTAAAAAAATTATTTTCGTCAAAAAAATCGGTTTTTGGCTTCAAAAGGTGCGTTAGGTAATCTGAAAAAATCTGAAAAAAATTGAGGTTATGTTTTTTAATGCGAAAAATAACTGAAAAAATTTCCGAGTACTACATCGGCTCATACCGCCGTATCTCGATTTTTGAAATTTTCAATGATTTTATCTGAAGGCCTGAAGCACTCAAAAAATCTGAAAAAATTCAAGGTTGTTTGGATTGTGGAAAAGTATTTTTATGAATTTTTTCAGATTTTTTACTTGCTTCATGTCCTCAGAAAAAATATAGATCGAAAATGGACGTTTATACCGGAAGTGGGGGGTAGGAGGGGGGAGGGGGTCTAAAAATTTTTTTTTGGGACCTTTTTACCATGTACTATAACATACCAAAAGCGCGTCAAGATCGGTGACATACGTGCGCACGGTTTTGTAAAAAAGTATTATTTTGACCCATATATATACCGTATATATATATTTAAAGACCACGCCGCGCGCAAATTCATCTCGTTAGGAGATCGTCGCAGTCGCAAAAAATCATCGAGAAGAAGATGACGAAGAAAAAAGAAGAAGGAGAAAAAGGCAGAGAAAAAACAAAACAACAACGACGACAACGACAGCACCGGTGTGGCTGTCAGTGTGCAGCTATGAGATATACTACTCGTCGATCGATCGATCGTCATGGTATATGGTATATATACATTGATCTCTCGTAATGCCACAGATGTATCTCGTATACGTATATCGACAAGAGGACGCGCTCTCAAGAGAGAGAGAGAGAGAAGAGGAAAGCCCGAGCGGCGGATAATTGAATCGAGCTCTTTTGGCGTATTATCCAAGTTAGCGATAGAGAGTGGATAGCAGCAGCATAGCTCGTGTTCAAGAGAGAGAGATCACCTGCTGCAACGTGAGAGATGCGACCAGATCGAGAGAGAGAGAGAGAGAGACGTATATCTATCGCGCGAATACCGTATATATAACGTCGCTACGGTGTGAAAATATCGGGCTTGATACACAATATAACGCGAACGAGCAGCTCGCGATGCGGCAAGCGCGACGATGAGCCCCGTGCACGAAGCTCCATATCTATTGTATACACGCTAATCTCGCATATATGCGTATAAGCTCGAAGCAACCCCGTGCGTCGGGTGGGAGGTACCTATACGTATATACGTGGATGAAAAGCTGTTTGTATTTTCCCGACGACACGTCACTGTGCCACCGCTGCCTCTACTTGATACAATCGAGCGAGCGTGATAAACGCGTGCGAGTCATGCATATAATATGGTGTGTGTGTGGCAGCTCTCGTGTTGTTGTTTTCGCGCGCACAATTAACCATCTTTTGCGCGCCACCGTTATATAGGATAGTATTAATAATTTTTACATACGGGTCTACCGACGGTTTAATCGATCGATCCTGCTGTATATACTATACTGTATAAATATAGGATAATTTTACACTTCTACAAAGAATTAGAGATTCGCTCCAATTAATTGACCGAATTTCAGCGAGCACACACACATACGTACCGAGTTTTACTGTTAAGGCTCTCGATTAAAAGCTGCGCCGCGACGCCCGATTAATAATTGATCGCCTTTTTAGAGCGAGAGAGTACACACACGGACACACATAGTACGTGTAATATACATGAAATCTGTCTAACGGAGCTCTCTCGGTAGCGGAGCTCGATCATGTACACAAACATACTTAACATTATGTACGATACACATTCGAAATCGAGACGGATTTTTCTGAATGAAAATCAGAGTTATACAGACAGATCGTATAAATTCCGTTAGCAGAGTCTCATCATTAAAAGATTCGTTATAATGATCATCCAAATACAGGGCGCCAAGAGACTTGTAAAATATTCTCGTGTATCATATACGTACCCAAAATTTATACACGGCATTGTGTATAAGAGATTTCATCGCGAGGAGAAACTTTTCCCTTCGCGTGCGTGGAGGAGCTCGGTAGAAGTATACGATACGCGATTGATTGAATTTTTTGTTCACAATTGAAAATTCGATGTATGCGTACACACGCGCGTAATAGAGAGAGCCGAGGGCTTCGCCTTCGCAAGCGCGTCACAACAACAACGGCATCGACGATACACGCATTCATATACAGAGATATCTCTCTCTGACATTGTTGGCGTATTCGCGAAGGAAATTCCTGCACCGCGCACAGACGCATATATCGTATCGAAATCGAGGATGCATCGATATATCGGGATCAGTTGGAAATTGTTGCTACCACCGTTGCTGTTGCTGCTGCTGCTGTTACTGCAGGAGATGTTTATTTCAACTTTACGACTGTTATATCGGCGTTGCTCTGTTAGTTATAGTTACGTGGAATAATCTATATCTATACATGCTGACACTGCTAAAAGGAGCAACAGCAGAAGCCGAGGCATAGAGCCAAGTAAAGTCAGTGCATGTGTATGTATATAGCAACAGCGGCTTCGAACGTTAAAGCCGCAGAGACATTCGGCAGGATCGTTAAGGAGCACGAGGACGACGACGACGACGAAAAGTTATAACCGCCCGCGCTCTACCAAGTGACCAGTACAGTTTCCGGATAAGCGCGTTCGCTTAGCGTTAAACCCTTTGTATATATACCACACCACATTACACACACACAAACACTTTGATACATCGAATTGGCGCGGTGGATATAAAGCAAATAAAAGAAGGAAGAGCAAGAAGAAGAGAAAGGCCCAGCAGAAAATACTTACCATCATTGCGGTCGTTGAGGGTGGCAAACTGGTGGTGTCTCCTTTACTCCTCGAGAGGGGCTGCTCGATGATCGTCAAAGGGAACGAGCACACACTAGCTCCGTGTAGGCAATATAGCTGACAACACGACGGGACGACGGGAAGCGCAACACTACTCGTATAAAGAGAGCCTCGACGACAGGAGAAAGACAGACAGACACACGGACACACGGAGAGAGAGAGAGAGAGAGGTAGATGGATGGAGATAGAGGATAGAGAGTGAGGAGACGGACGACGAAAGAGAATTAGTCGTCGGCTCGAGGCACTTGGCTATTCTGCACGCAATTAGGTCATTGTCCTTCATTTATACTTTCCTCGGCGGGGCCCCCCGAGAGAGTATATAGCAGCAGCAGCAACGCATACATACAGCAAAAGACTTGACCGCTTCTCTCTCTCTCTCTCTTTCTTTCTCCTCGTGGTACATTTATGTACGCGAGAATCCTCTCTTTCTCCTGTTTTGCTGCTGCCCCTGGCGGCCCATGCCGCTGCGTGTTGATGCCCCTTCCTCGCGCAGTCTCGCTACCATCGTCCACTCGTGGCGGTGCGGCCTTCTCTCTAAAATATCTCCTGCTGCTGCTGCTGCTGCAGCATAACACTGCACTCGCGGCGCTGCGGCACAGGTGCGATCGTGAAAAGAGCTCGCTATACAAGTATATATGAGTCGTTGCATACTACTACTGGTGACGGCGCCCCGTGCGCTTCTCGCTCGAGTTTATAACGTACGCCCGTATAGTAGCTACTATACTAGGCGAATTGGCGCCGGTGCACATATAATAGCGCGCGAGCAATCCGCTATATAGCATATACATATAATACCGATATTCGCGCGCGCGGCACATCGGGTGCAGTAGTATAGATATATATAGGATCCGGTTGACCGACTTGTCGCTCTCGCGATCGCGTGAAACTCGCGCAGAGCAGTATACTACTACACAGCTCGTGTGCACGAGCTCACGTACGACGACACTCGTATTATATGTATAAAATCGACGTCGACACGCGCCCGCGTCTAATGTATATACACTATATATGATGAGCGCCTACCTGCTGACGCGTAAAAGTCTCGCGCTGCCTATATAATATAACGTCGAGTTAATGCGGCAAAAATATTATAACGTTCGAGATCGTTGCCGCGTGCATTATGTTTGTGAAAATGATCGAGATCGCGTACAGAGATCGCGAGCTAAAATCTAGTCTACGTCATAAGTTTGATCGGTATTGTATATTTTCAGAATTATTAAGTCGACCGAGTCCGAGGGGAGTAATGAAATCGTCTCATTAGTTTGATGTAATCACTTTTGAATGATAAGCATTAATCTGATCTGAATGAAGGTCATTAGATTTTTCAAAAAATGTTTATATGAGCAATTCTGTAAATGAAAGGCATTTTTGGAGGTAGAATCGCGGCAAATTTTTTTTTCAACCTACGCGGATACGGACCCCCGGGAAATGTTTTTGGGGGTCCTAGGAACATGTAACCACGTAGGAAACATTAAAATTTCAATAGTGCTTACTTTTACAGCTACTTTTGTGATTTAGAGGACGAAAAATCATGTTTTCTCGTAAATGCGGCTAATTACTCGATTTCCAAGTCGTTGAAAAAGTATCAAAACTCATCTGAAAAATTTAACTGACTACTGTAATCGATAGGAAATTTCCTCAGCTTTCCGAAGGTACTATTCAATTTTCCGAAATATCCAATTTTTACCGCGAAAATCGCCATCACACATTGAGGGCTAAATTCAGTACGGAAAAAATGAACTTTTTGGATAATTGTTGATTTTTCCTTGTGAAAATGAAATTTATCGAAAAATCTGACTATCCCATGAGAAGGCCGAGGAAATTTTCTATCGAAAGCATACCTTCATTTATTTTTTGAGTCGAATCACAATGTTATACATGGGAATTTTTTTTTACTTTGTTCGCTGTTTTCTGTTTCCGAGCTGATTCAGCGCGGCAGCGAGGTTTTCGGCTCGATATAATCAAAACTAGCTCGTAATTCCACTTAAAAAATAAATGATGATATGCTTTCGATAGAAAATTTCCTCAGCTTTCTCAAAGTGTAGTCAGATTTTTCGATACATTTCATTTTCACGAGGAAAAATCGAAATTGAACCTCAAAGATCACTTTTTCAGTACCGAGTTTTTCGAGATATTTAGCTTGGCATGCTTGATGGCGATTTTCTCGATAAATGTGCGACTTATCGAAAAATCTGATACCACCATTGGAAAGCTTAGAAAATTTCCTATCGAACACAGTAGCCAGTTATTTTTTTTAGATGATTATTCATACTTTTTTAGTAACTTAGAAATTGAGTAATTAGCCGTATTTACGAGAAACCATGATTTTTCGTCCTCTAAATCACAAAAGTAGCTATAAAAGTAAGCACTATTGAAATTTCAATGGTTCCTACTTGGTCACATGTTCCTAGGACCCCCAAAAACATTTCCCGGGGGTCCGTATCCACGTAGGTTGAAAAAAAATTTTTTTCACGATTCTACCTCCAAAAATGAGTTTCATTTAAAGAACTGCTCATATCTTCACCGCAACTTCGCCATTCTGACCGCGATGAATTCCCCTCTCGAAAATGTATGTATTTTACACCGAAGCGCTTTATACACCGCATCCAGCCAGCAAGCACAAGCGAGCATGTGCAGCCAAGCAAACTGACCTAACGATCCAAGTGTATATCTTCTCTCTCTCTCTCTCTCGCAGCTGAACCGTGGCGAATTCTCCGCGCATCGAAATATGATCGAGTTATTCCCCGCGTGCAAGGGTATATACGCGCAAAACCACCACCTCGAGTTTACATATTATACAGACTCGAATGCCTCGACGCGAGCGCGCGTCGACAGGGGCCGACCGAGTCTTCCCTGTGAATAATTTCCCCGGAAACCGACGGTGCAGCATCTGCTGCTGCTGCTGCTGAAAAGTTTGGCGCGCCGCGCAAGCTTCCTTATATATTGTAAATTTACATATCGCAGACCCTTTGCAATAATACGGTAAATTAATATATATCGTTGTCCGCGAACACAGCATCGTAAACACTGGATGCAGTGTAACGCTCTCTCGGTCTGCTCTCTCTTCGCGCGCGTTTTTTCTGAAACTCTGCCAGAATGCTTGATTGAGGATTTTTGAGCGCGCAATATAAAGCAACGAACAATTTTTATCATGACATACGTATGCAGTAAATGGTGAAGGTTTCCTGGAATTTTTTTTTCCCGAACGTAAAACCGGACTTCTAAAAACTCACTTTATAACAAGAAAATCTGTTTTTCCAGTGAGTACGAAAATCTCTCGGTTGGCACTGCTACCCTCGATCACACATGGGCTCGATCGTGTGTCATCGTCCTTGACAAACAGCCGATACGCGTCGTTAAATCGTGCGCGCCGCTTCGAAACTCTCCTGCACACGCACAAACTGTCGCTTGCGCTGTTGTTTTTTTCGATATATATACATACGGTATCGGCTAACAAGGTCCTATAAGCCGTAACTTTGATTTATTAAAAAAATTCCTTTGGGGTTGCTAGCGTGAGCGCGCATCTAAAAAAAATATGCCCCACGTTGTTTTGTTTGATCCCACAAAGACCTCCCACACGTGTGTGTCAATTAAAACCAAAAAAAAATAAAATTTCGAAGGATCAGCTTTGAGACAAAACATTTGTGGAGCAAAAACTGCTTGAAAATTTATTGAAGAGTATCTAGGATTTTAAAAAGATTTCCTGAATATCTGCATTATCATCGTGAACTCTTTAAAAGTAACATGTCATTGCGTTCATATTTGAAAGCAAATACAAATCTCACTGACAGATGCAGTGTATTATTACTATACATTATCAACATTTTCTCTATAATCTCTACTAATATCATTAAAATCTCTCTATCACGGTCGCATTTGCCTGTGTATTTGAGATCTTTTATGCTTTCTATTTTTGACACTACTAATCAAAAGTTGATCCACATTTTCATTTTTGCTTGCAAAGTGAAATTTGATATTGTGAATTTTTTGTTGACCTTAATGATAAAATAGTTTATATTTTATCGTCATCACTAAATACTGTCACTTTAGAACAGAAACGATTCAATTATTCTGATAATAATAAAAACTTTTTCATCTCTGAATAAATTTGAACAAATATAACCGAATGTATTATCATCACCAAATAATGTGATACAAACTTTCATCATAATTTAGACATGTGCTATGCTAATAAGTTCGCGCGCATTTCACAATTTCACGTATTAATTATTTATGCCTCCACGAAAATTGAGCTAATTCCATTTTCCACGCGTACAAGCTCAATCGAGTTGAACTGATTTTTTTTTATAATTCAATCAACTTATTATAAAGTTTAGTTTCAGTTTATTATTTCGAGAGAGCGCGGAAAATGAGATACACCGAGAGAATGCAGTTAACAGACGCAAACATCTTTTGAACAAAGGCGGCTTTGCAATAAGGTCGAGTCGCGAGAGCTCTTTTACGTAATTATTGCACGTAAAACATTGTGCCTACGGTATAAGAAATGAATTTCGGGTAACTAAGTAGTTGTGTTTGATTTAAATCAAAATTAATTCAATGTAGTTTTTTACTCTTTAATTATGAAAAGATTGACTTGTAAAATTAAAATTACAAAAGAATACAATTGCAACTCTTTGTCGATAGTTATAACAGCCTTACAAGTAGTTTAATAAAAGCAAACGATTGTAAAGATATACAGCAAATTTTATAAAAAACATTTGTTTTAAAAACTTATAATTACTTAATTTGTAAATTATTCGACGAATAACATTTAAGCTTTTACAAAACTTATAACTTAAAAAAAATATAATATATATTTTTCTAATCCTAGATGGCGCCTTAAATTTTCCTCATTCGAACAACAAAGCTACAATGAATGAAGAAAATGTGCTATAAATTTTTCAATAATTTCAAAATAACGTTTACAACATTATTAATCCAGTACTGACTCTTTCATACGCAAAGCATAATATATCTACATCTGTATAAAAGAGTGCAATACCCTTTCTAACATTATCAATGGAAATATCTTCTGTAACAGTTTCTTTGAAAATATAACAAGATGAAACACTCCAAGAACTCTTCCACACGTCAGAACGCTCACACACTCAGAGAGAAGAGAGAGATAGAAATACAGAGAGTAAAAATGACGATAGGCATCGAATATCAATGGAAAAGCAGCTTTGACCCCCAAGGTTCGTCGAACTGTTTCTCCAAAAAGTCGTCGTGCCATTGATCTTGCTTCTCCCCCTTTTTTCGCTTTATCCTATGTGAGTATATTTTTTATATCCTCCAACAGGCGGATAATATGCGTAAGCATAAACAACTGCAAAAATAATCAGAGATTATAATGACGTTCGGGCGAATATTATAATTTTGTGTATTTTGTACACGACTCCCACGTAATATTTATAAAATTTTTGAGTTTAAAATTTTATGAATATTTATTAAATGACAAAATTTTATAAATATGTAATTTTATAAATTTATTTTTTTCGTGTGAGTCTAACGATATCATCAATGAGGTGCAGGATTGATGATTGAATGATAAAGTACAATGAGTGTTGTATTTATAGTGCATTAATAATGTATGAGTGCAGTTTTGTTCAGTGTAATTAAATTTGAGTGTCTGTACAAACATCATGTATTTATATTCTTATTTAATTCAATTTTTTCAAAACTGTATTGTACACATATCTGAAAAACAACATCGGGATTGTATACATCACCACGTTTAACGTAAAGATTATGGTTGTTACTTCGCAAATCCGGAAATAACGCTTGTAACAACAACATACGATTCACTGCTACTTTTAATTACAAAAGTATTTAAATTATTTAAAATCCTCTTTTCTTTTCTTTTTCGTCCTTATGCTTAGGACAAACAAGCGAAACTTGTATCATTTTTATTCTTTCAAAGTCTTCAAGCTCTCAACGGACTCGAGCAAACACAAAAATGATTCAAATGTGCATGTAAACCTCGAAGGTCAAAAATAATTGCCTCGCAGTCCACGGGGTCGTTTAAAGCTCCCTTCGAATGATGTGCGCGCATGTGCAGGTATACCAATTTACGCCCCAAATTTATATCGCTCGTGATCGTGTTTCGCGCGCTATCGAGTTAAAAATGGTATTTTCCTATGCGAGGGCGAAATGAATCCTTTTTTTCCCTCTGGTTGTAGTTGCAAAGATATAATACGAGCTTTCGAGTAAATATTGATATCCTTGGAGGAAGGAGCATATACACAAAGATGAAATTCATTTCGAACGGAAATAGATATTTGACGAAGTACCGCGTATACACTCAAAGGACTACGGCGCGCACAAAGTTTTATATCCGTCCGCCTAAGCTAAATCGTTACTCTTCTCTGACGTATGTATCGAGTTACATACACAAAAAAAAAATTCGTCTGTGGTCGTGAACGACCTATCTGGTCAACGAACTTCTTATCATTAATTTATCAAGACGTAATCGAACTTTCGTCAAAATCGTCCAGTAATGCGTTTACCTTGTGTCATTAAAATTCTTCTCTATTGCCTCTATTGCCCTTTTTCGTCAGCAGGGGTGCGAGGCAAAAAAACGTAACAAGTTTCATTATAGCCTATTGACTTTTCTTTCGGACTCTCGATCGTCCCGACGATTAGCGATCTCGTAACCGATCGACTGCTTTATCTCGAAGCTGGGTCTGTGAATTTCCGGATACTTGATGCCTATGTCGTGTATCGAGTTGAGGTGCGCCGGTGGAAAGCCCTGATGCGGCGAGTAGGGCCCGATAATCGGTATCTTCAACGGGCCATCCATCGTCGGGAAGCGATGATGATGAGGCTGCTCGAAAGCTCCCTTCTCGAATCCTGTTATATCCTCGTCGGATATCTCGAAGTGTACGTCGGGTATATTGAACGATACTTGTTTGTAGTTGTGCGGCCGAGGCTGGCCGTACTGATGATGATGCAGATGAGGCTGCGTAACGTAGGCGTAATGCGGCGATTCCAAATCGGCCTGTCCGTAGCCACCAGCCTGATGATGCAGCTGCTGATGATGCTGATGCTGCAGGTAAGTGTCCTCGATGGTGATCGGCGGATGCTTGTACTTGTCGTCGACTTGGTCGAGCGTCGTGTAATGATGTTGCTCGACGCCACCGTGACTGGCGGCGGCTTGATGATGATTGCCGCTGCTGTCCGCGGGCCCGTTGCCAAGCGGCGGATAAAGATCGTGACTCTCCTGATTGTAATCCTGCAATTGAAGCGGTTTCGTGGGCACTTCGATGCCGCCGCCGACGTCGCTGCTGTGTTGGTGTCCACTCGTCGACGTCGTCGTCGTCTTTGTTCCTTTGTTCTTTTTGTACTGGGCCGAGAAAGCGGCCAACTGGGCGATCGCCTCCTTGACCTTTTCGTTCTTGCTTTTGCCGGCAACGCCGTCGACACCGCTGGCTGCTCCGTGATCGAAGGTTTGATATTCGACGTGGGCGTCGTCTTGCTGCGGTGGCGCTTCAAAGCCGTCGTCCGATTGTTGATGATGGTGTTGATGATGATGAAGGTGGTTTAGGTCGGGCACAGGTTGCGCGACCAACAGTCCGGCTTGGCTGTCGTCATGGACTATAATAACGTAACGTCGTGTCAGATTGTCGTTAATACCGAAGTAGTTAGTCACTGTTTTTTTTGTTTGTTTTTTTTTTGCTAAGACACAAAGTTCCATCGAGACAAAGTACTTTAGAGGCAAAGGACCTCGAATCAACAACAAAGATACGTTTTTGAAAGGATTTTGAAGAGTTAGAGAGAGAAAGAGAGTGAGAGAAAAGAGAGAGAGAGAGAAAAAAAAATGTACACAGTCTTAAATTGGCAGTGAAACAAACAGTATGTATAAGAATAATTTAATTTCCATCAAAGGTAATATTGTGCACCTAATAATAGAACCGGATCCATTCGTGTAATAGTTGCTACGCCGAGGGGACTTTCGAATCACCCAAGAAACACAGTTGTTTTTACTTAGAATGAAAACGTAAGAGCTAATGGTAGTACAGGCAGGCAAGGTGAGTGTCTAGTGTATGTGGCTAGTAAGTATACCCTCGACGCGACGTACAAAATTAATTATTTCAACTTTATAAAATTATTATATTATTTCGAGTACATATATAACTCGTAATATGGACAAAGTACTGCAAATTTGTTCATCGACATCCACGCGCTGTATATAAGAGGATTAATTATAAAGTTTTATATTAATTAAAAAAGAGATCGAGAGAGTAATGTATTATAGCATCAATAAAAATCGTCATTATTCGAAATTACGAGTAAGAAAATTATTTAATTGCAATTAGACAAGTGCGCCGCGTAATATTTACATTACATTTTAAGTGTGATTGAAACTTTTTTTACAAAGATGTACATACGTGATTTCTAAAGATCTCATATATTTTATTTTACAAAAGTATGCATAGAGAAATGAATTCTAATAATTACACTGCGTCTATATAAAAACACTAAACAAAGCAGGTTTACAAGCAAAATTGTTATTCCCCTTGATTCCTTTACCATTATTGTTATTGGAAATATTTCAATCTTACCATCGGTCGCTGCTCCGAAACCGTGTTGATACGAGTCAGTCGGCGGTGGTGCTCCAGTGTAATGATGATCGTGTCCTAAAAAAAAAAAAGTTCACCAACAATTTTACCCTGAACTCGTGCCGTGCCGATCGATGCAATTTTGCACGCGTGTGAAACTCTCAATAATAGCTCCTACGTGTACGCAGAGCTGTACACTCACCAGCGTAATGATTATGCACCACCGGCGGTGGGCCGTAAGCGTAGCCGTGATGCTCGTACGAGGTTGTGTGATGATGTTGCGTCGTTGGCTTCGTTGCGCCGGTGGCCAAAGTTTTGCCCAAACCGCTGATAGCCTCGCCGGCGCCGCTGATTAGACGACCCTTTGTCTGCACGAGGAATCCGCTGCCTTTGATGATCTGGCCGTTGAGGGCGAGAAAGCCGCCGCCCACGGCTTTGACCGCCTGGATCAGCGAGTTGATGATCGCCTTTTTCAGATCCCAGGGAGTTACTTGATGGTGCTCGTGATGCTCGTGATGGCCGTACTGGAAAATCGTCGCATGTACAAGTATACGATTATTTTTAATTTAGACAAAAAAAATAAAATTAATAGAACGAGGATATTTTGTCATTTCGTTTGTTTGGAATTTTGCTGAGGAAGGCAGGCCCCCCTCGATATCCTGTCTATTTTCATTCTACCTCTCGTTCTACGTCTCTCGAGACGTGTGCGATTCCAAATAATTCATCTCGGCGCGTGCTCGTACCCTCGCGTCGATGTATACATAGCACCTTTATATATTTTTTATATTTCTCTCTCTCTCTCGCTCTCTCTCTCTCTCTCTCTTATATACTCTAGTCTATCAGTTCCAAGTGAAACTTTACTTTAGGCCTTATGTCGCTACCGTTGGTGCTTCATGAAATATCCAGCGAGTGACAGAAGTCAGGCCGGCTGCGGCGGTGGCTCGCAATATGATGGAAAAACAGCTTATACACGCTTTTCCCTCCTTAATCGTGGCACACGCCACGCGCACGGCACAACGACCTACATACACGCGAGCGAGCCACACCGTTGCTGCTTCGCTTCTTTCTCTGCGCTGCGAGGATCGGCAGCCCGAGTATACGCACATGTTTGCATTAAAAGTGATTACGGCGCTGCCCCCCTGACGTCGCATACGACGATATTATACATATAAAAAACTTATAAACATTCCACGCGTGCGTATGTATGCACTATGCACGCGCTCGAGCGTCTTTTATATTGGAGCTCAAAGTTCTACAATCCGCCTGTCGCGTCGGATTACGAAATATATAGGTAGGTAGGTAGGTAGATAGGAGCGCTTATATTTTCCACGCATACAGAAAACGTTTGAGCGCAAATATTTGCTCGAAAACTTTCGAGCCGGCGAGCTGCTGCTGCGGCTCCCTGCGATTACTCCGAGCGCGCATATCGGTATTCGTTTATGTATATTCATATAATTATATGCGTAATCAAATTCGAATATGCGATACTCTTGCAGAAATATTATGCCGTATGGTCACGCGCAGCAATTAAATGTGTCTGGACGTGGTCGAGTACTTATATATAATCGCGCGATAGATATATTTGCACAATCGCGTCAACACGAGTGGGTCAATCATTTATTTACGAGTATGCACGTAAACAGACTACTCGTTTCCGGAGCATATTTGATATAAAAAATTTACATTATATCGCAAGCTTGTTTATCCTTTAATAAGTCGATTCTTGCTTCATATTATGTTAACTTGCAATTAGCTCGAGCGATATGCATATGAATGACTATTTGTAAATCGATTGTTGGCGTTGGTTTGTCTTTATTTTTATATCATCGTATCCTCGAATCAAATGTACAAATCTATCACACATCACAGCTCGATCCATTAAATGTGCAGAAAGCGCGATATTCAGATTTACAAAGTCTGATTCGCTCGCGAGCTAATGTTGCAGACTTTCGATCACACGCACAGAGTACGTTGCTTAAAAAAGTCTTAAATTTAATGCAGATTTGATTTAAAATAAGACATCAAATTTGAAGAAATAGATACTAAATTTTATTTAAGGTATTATTACATGAAATCTTTGTTGAATAATTACGTATCAGTACGGATTTGATTTTTTACATAAAGTGCACAAAAAATGCTCGAAAATGCAATCAATACGCTATTTTTAATGATGAAGAAAAATGATGTTATTCCATTTAAACATTTCTGAAATCGTTCGAAAAATTCATGAGAATTCGATTACGATTCGTGCCCACCTCTACCGCTAGATGACGAGTACCGTCATCTGTAAATCTGCAAGTTGCAAAGTTGAAATAATTGTGTAAGTAGAAGCAGGAATTTAAAATCAATTGTTTAACCCGAAGCTCTATTATATCAATTTGCTATAAAACGTAAACATGTTTGCGTGAAACGATCCTTAAATACCCACGATCCTCAAGCATATTCTCAGGCGTAAATACTTACCGTGGGATACTTGGGGGGACCGTAGACCGGGGCGGGTGGCCCGTAGACCACCGGGTGGTGCTGCGGCAGAGCCGGCGGAGCGTGACTGCCCTGGGCCGAGGCGACGACCGAGCCCTTGGACAGGCTGGCCGAGCTGCCGATCAGGCCGCCCACGAGGCCCGTGAAGAACGAGGCGCTGTCGCTGCCACCCCCGTGATGCTGGGCCGGCGGAGGTCCGTAAACGGGCGCGGGTGGCCCGTACGAGTCGTGAGGCGGGGCCGCGTAATCGTAGCCCGTGGTGTGGTCGCGCTTGATGCGATCCTGCACGTAGCTCATCACCCGCTCGTCCTTCATGATCTTGTCGGCGTAGCGATCCAGAGCCAGCATCTGCTTGGCCGTGATCTGACCGTTATTTTTCGAATTGCCATTAGCGGTGCTGCCTTCGCCGATTATGCGCAGCAGCTCGGTCAGATCGATGGGAATTTCGAGGCTGGTGCTGGTAGCATCGTCGACGGAATTCGCCGACGACTGCAGCTTACTGCTGCTACTGCTGCGTCCGCGAGATTTTCCGTACTTGACCCGATGTTGCTGCTGCTGCTGCTGCAGCTGCTGTTTATTGTTGGTGGTGGCGGTGTCGAGGAAACCGCTGCGTGGAAAGTGTGCCAACCTCTGGAGCTGTTTGACCGCTGCGAGAGACACATCGTTGCTGGACTTTTGCTGCTGCTGCTGCTGCTCTTGAGATTGATCGTCGCTCGTCGTCGTCGTCGTCGTCGTCGGTGAGGTTTGAACAGCCGAAGCGTAGAGCGCGAGAACGAACGCCACCGCCAGCAGCTGCTGTAACAAATTACCCCTTTTATTATTATGCTACGTGGTTAAAATATATAGACCAAATAAGCACGAGTTTGTGAAACATCCATGCACGCGTAAACAATATATGGCGATCGACGAGTACAAGTGTGTACTCTATTGCGTATATATACTCGATCGGAAATTTGTCACTCGAGGTATATGTACACTTCGTGTCACGAGCTAGCTCTTCGGATATACGAGCGCGAAATAAGGTGGAAATTTACTACCTTCAGAGGATCCTTCCTTCGCACTTGTTCGATGCGCTTAAGAATAGAGAAAGTCACACGGATTTATTTGATTTCTACGGGATATGGAATACGCATTCGTTTATTCTCATATGCGTACCATATCGAGTTCACAAATGTAAGTATAAGAACGAACATCGTGTCAAAAGGCGAATTTCTCATCGCGCGTTGCTCTCTGCTGTGGGGAAGGATAGATCTTAGGCAGCGAAATGTATGATTATAATCCATCGAGTCGGATGAAAAATTTAATATAAGTGCAAAATTTTTTGCTTTGAATAACTTCAGTCACGGGCAGAATATAGTGACGTACACGCCGGATAAGAGACTCTTAATGTTTTCTGCCGAGGTCCTCATTTTTTTCTCTCCTTTACTCCTATCTCTACAGGATTATTTGATCATATCTACCTCGGCTTGGCGCGCCCGCGCGCCGACGTCGTTCTATCAAGAAATATTATCGTTTCGTGAGAAAGAAGAAAACGAAGGGAACTTTTTTAAAACTGCGAGTTATATTACAATATTACTGCTCTTCGAAGAAGGAAAAGTTTCGAGAGTTGAGTAATTTTGCACGCGGGTGCAGCGGCGTCGTTGCTACTGCTACTGCTGTTGTTGTTTTCGAAAATTGAGGTAAACTCCCGTTGCAATTTTAATCGCGCGGCTCGCGTGTAAAAAACGTACCACAGGCAGAGAGAGAGGATATATAATTTGAAAAATCAAAGACTCTTCAGAGTCACTATGCGCGGCAGTTCGAAACGGCCGGAGCCATTGTCTCCGCCGGGCGCGCGCGCGCCCGAACAATAAAAAGTCGTTATATGGGCTCGTATCTCGAAAATTGGCCAGCGCGCAAATTACGCCTATGTCATCCCGCTTGAAACACGAGAGGGCACTGCAAAAAGCCTATTTTTTTCGACCTCTTATCTGTGTGAGAATATTTCGAGAGATCGGCGTGGTGCGCGCTAATTTCGTGAGAACAATCTCTTGTTTTTCAATGCCTTCGACCACAGCACACGCACACACACACACAGAAATATAAAAAAATCGTTGGCAAACAAGCTGTGACTATTATAACTTTCACGTTTTTCAAACATTTATTATTTCGCGCAGCTACATTGTTTCGCGTCGACTTTAAAATAAATGCACACTTTTAGCGCATTTTCACGCGATTGATTTTTCGATAAGATTTACGACGTAAACGAGATTGTTAATTTTCAATTATATGAATTGATTAACTACCGTGATTTAAGTTTAAAAACACAAACGGAGGTGTGAAAATTTCTCGACGTTGTATTTTTTTAACTCGTTTTAAAAATGCACTATCTTTACAGCAATCAAACGAATTATCACCATAAACCCGTCAAACTTTCCACATGCAACTTCTTAATCGTAGTTTCTTAATAACATACTTTACCTAAAGGTACATTTAACCGCGCGTATATACGTGCCGAAGAAGTTGGATGTAAAACCTATGATTGAACTTTGATAAAACTTGGAGTAGTTCTTGTTTCGGGGGATGATTCGAAGGTACATAAACCGCTATCGAGCTTATATTATATACGTCGTGAAATAGAAGCGAGTTCGCGCGTATACAACTCCCCCCCGCTTTTTGCTGCTTTACATTACGCGCGAAAAGTCTCTACATTTTTTTTAAAGCTCTCCGATATGCCACATCGGTCCTGTATCAGAAGCTTATAATACACATATTGTACGAACTTGGATGTCAGTGGGGCAAAATTTTTTAAAGTGACTTTTCTGCGTCGCCCGAGGCGTGAAGTTTTCCCCACCCTTTTTCTTTTCTAATGTATTCCAGGCATGGCACACCGCGAGATATATCTATAATTTTTTAAACGAAATTCCACGAGGTTAATCTATCTCCTTGTAAATAAAGTTATAAAGTTATATTATAAACTTGGGTGTACGCGGTAGCATCAGCAGCGTCGTCGTGCCCAGTCAGCGGCTCGGCAAGAAGGCGAAAGTTCGCGCCGCGTGAGCGAGTGAGACCAGATGTTCTTCGGCGAGGCCGCGACGACGACGACCAAGTCAATATATAGTTAGGGATCCAGCTCGTTCGCAGCGAGAAACTCTTGCGGGGCCACCGATACACGCTGTTACACGCGCGCCATTATTAATCCTCCTATATATATTTCGTATAAATCCAACTATGATATACGTGCAATAATAATAACGATCAGCGAGCTTTCGATGGACAAGCTCCGGGGCTCTCGTGCTCCGCTCTCGTTCATATTATGAGAAGATTGGCAGCTGTATGCAGCTCTGTGGATCGCGTTTTCAAGGGAAAAGCGTACTCCGCTACGTGTTGTCGACTGCACCTCGTCGTTCTGCGTTGAAGGGCGCGCACGCAAATGTACTAGTACTGGCACTATACTCCGGCGCCGTACCTACCGTATGCAGCATTATAATATAAACTCTGTAATTGTAAACGCGTGTGCTGCACGGGGTGCATGTGGGTTCGGAGGCCGCAAGATCGATACGTATATATACATGTACATTCGAGAAAATCTCCGGGTAAAATTGCATGTATACATTTAGGACGCGTATATAGTAGCGGTACACGAGCTTTAACGAGGAAACGCCTCGCGCCGCGCTCGAGACGCGCGATGGTTGTGAGCTGCTGCTGCTGCTCCGAGCGCGTGCATCGCCCAGAAAATCGATTATATACGCGCGCTCTCTCTCTATGCCACGAGCTGCTACTCTGCTGCACATATTACAAGCGAGCAATTTTTCTCTACTTAACTCGAGGAGAAGGAGAAGAAGGAGCAGGAGTGCATGTAGCGGTGTGCGGGAGGCGGCACACAACGAAAAATAATAAGTAGCATATTGTTGATATGAAAAAATCTCGCGCACCTTGTAATGTTATTATAACGAGCACTTTGTCTTTTTATACTCGTTGTCGCGTATATAATAATGAAAATTGTAAATTGAATAGAAGAAAAAAGGAAAATACATTTTGTTTTCGTTATCGTGAAAGCGTATGTAAAATAATTGTAAGGCTTGCATATTGTATATGTGTACTATGCATCAATCGATATCCGAGCCAATACACGCGGTTGTAATAAAAAATAAAAGTAAAACATATTCTCTGTGAATAAAACCATGAAATTGACTGCCACGCTGTTTGTCGAAAAAGGAAAAAAAATAAATTATATGATTTTGAGCGCGTACGCGCGCGGCACACACAACAATCTATTAGAGGAAAATATGTAGCCGCTATATATATCGTGCATTTGAATATACATCACGTAGCAGCAGCAGCGGCGGCGGCGGCGGCACAGGCGCTTGTTAAGTGTAAGGAAAAGCTCTTCCCAAAGGGCTGTTGCATCGTAATTATACGAGCTGCGGCTGAGGTAATAAACAACAGGAATGTATACGGCTACAGCCTGAAGGGCTCACTCTCTCTCTCTCACTTGGTGCGGGGTAGTTGGAACGCGCGCCGCATCGCAAGTCAGAAACGAGACACAATCAAACCACTGGTTATTCTTATTTAATAAAACGCGAACCCGAGAGCGTAGAGAGTCGAGCTTGCAGAGCTTTTCGCTGCAAAAATGATGGTACGGATAGGTATAACGTCGAAAAAGCTCGGCGCGATGCTGAATTAAGCTCGCACAGCTCGCTCGCGATATGGGGGAAAGCTGCTGATACGAGGCGCGCGCTAAAATACGCGAAAATTTGTATAAATCGTAAATAATTTATAGACAGCTGGAGCAGCCGTCGCAAAATAAATGGCTCACTACGCGCGCGGCCAGCAGTAGCAGCAGCGACGGCACCAAGCTGCTGCTGCTGCTGCTGGATATACATATACAAAAATCGATACTTCACTTTACCGCGCGCTGCGCTTTTATAGTGTCTATAATATATCTTTGACATGGGAATATTCGCGCGCGGAGGCTGTATGTATAATAAAATATAATATTAATTCGCGTCCTCGCGGCCTGCCTGCCACTATATATATATAAGTAAGTTGTAGATTATTATACGCTCGTACGTTTCAATCATACACGGAGCAGATAGGTGGACACACTCGCTCCTGGCTCCTGTGTGTATACACGTTATATATACTCCCATCAGAATACAAGCTCGAACGTCGACCATACGTATACGTGCAGGCAGCCAAATTTAATATGAACGTTATAAATATTGAATTAAAACGTATAAAATTTTCCACGCGTCTCTTGGCTTATTTTGTTTATCACTCGTTGCGCAAAAGTTTTTTTTTTACAGACGATCTCCTGCTGCCTATCTATACAAACATAAGAGACAGAGCTTGCGCAGCAAAAAATTGAAATTAATGGAAAATTTATCGAAAGTTTTTCAATCTTTTTCTTGAGATGATTAAGACGTGCGCGCAGAAACAACTTTTTACTTATATTCGTTTGCGACAAAGAGAGCTCGAACTAGAGAGAGCTGCGAGACAGGCTTACGGGTAGCAGCAGCAGCCTCTCTGTGTGTATGCGTATATATATAACTAATTATTAGCCGAACTTTGACTTGCGAGTTGACAAGGTAATCACTGCCGTCGCGTATACGAGCGGGAGCGCGAGATCGCTGCCACTGCCGCTGCTGCAAGCACGATTATTAGATGCTCGAGTATGCCAGGCATTCTCGAGAGACAGCTGCGAAAGTATATAACACGTGCGCAGGTGCGTCGAAAGATGGAAAAAAAAATGCATGAAAAATTTACGCACTGAAAAAAAATGTCGTGACACCTGTAATAGTGATTTACTT